TCGAAAAGATCATTTTTACATGTTGAGGGCGGCTGACATTCATAGACAACAGGAAAATTCTCTTAGATTCGAACTCGCGCGGCTCATGGCGACTGCTTTGTAGACTGATTCCTAAGATTTAAAAATCGTATCGGCATCTTGTATAGGTAATTTGCTTTGCATAAAACTAAGAAAGCTTATTAGTTCATGCTTGTTGTTAACATGAGATGTATTCAAAGCTGTGTCATCCAACACAAACAACAGTTTTAACTGATTATATTTCATCTCTATGTGTTTGATAATTGATAATGTGAGGAGCGTGAAGATGATACGACTTTTTCTATTTGTTTTTTTGATGCGAGTAAATTAATGAAGATCTCGCTACTCTGTAGTGAATCAAGACAGCGGCGTGGGTTTTGCTTTTGTGAGGAGAGGAAGATAAGCCAGGTAGTTGTCGATCTCGTGAGATGGATTAGATTAAAGAAAATGGTCGTACTACAGCAGTATGTCGAAATGAGGACCAATGCTTCTTTCTACACTTCGCCTCGCCTGTACTGCTCGTAGGACCACGAATTCTATTTCAGAATACGTATTGAAAAATGGCAAGAATAAATTTTTCGTAAATCGGAGGATAGCTAATTTAGACGGGAACATATTGTCACATCATGTGAATTCTCGAGGTATAACGTATCGTGAAACCCCGCTTACACAAAGGAGGATATTTATTTGGAAAAACACCATTGTCCCATCGTTCCTTCAGTTCATGAATTTACGTTTTGATAAGTGAGTTAATTTAAATGCTTGAAAGTTCACGTAAGGCCTTTTCTCTCAGCAGTTTAAGGAAAATTATGCATTGTGTTTACTTTGTTTGCGGTGCAAGTATACCTATATACAAATTAACATATTACAATTTGTAATTATTTTGACTCTGACCTTGACCATTCATTTTCATGCTATTCTTCATTGGAACTAGTCTTTTCTTTCGGATATCAACATAAGTTATTGTTATAAACATTCATAACACTTTATTGATATGGTGATTTAATGTCGTGAAATTAGATAGCAAATCCAATAGTGCAACATAGTCTAAGAAATATAGCAAAATCGCTGTGGTAAATCGTACAGAGACAAAATATTTGGAAAAAATGTGTATCAGACGAGGAAATAGGTACTGTAATTGCGAAACATTTCGAAAATGAGAAATTATGTTTTTTGGAGGTTGTACATCACTTCACGTACACCCATTTCCGTTTTCTGTCTGCCTGCCTGCCTGTCTGTCGTTCAGGATCTCCTGAACCATCAAAAAACGAAGTTTGATCGTTTTTTTGCCTTTTTTGCTTATTATATAGAAGCCCTTGGCGCAGTAGTAACTCTGTGTAAAAATTTCATCCAAATTCGAGTGGTACTTTTCAAGGTATGGACGGGCCAAGGATTAGAGGCCAGACAGAAAGGCCGATAGACAGACCAACATACAGACGAACATCCAAATAGATCGTCGAAAATGAGGATGTGGTTTTTCGTGATGCAAATATTATATACACCCAAAAAAAAAATCCATTCTCGAAATTTTTCGCGATTACAATATGTACTTCCTCGCCCAGTGGCAATCTAAATACTCAACGTTTTTTAAATCAAATGCAGTATACTGATTTGGTTGTATTGAATTTTCATTCAGTGCGTTACGTTGTTTTAATTTGCTTGTTAATATGGTACGAACGTAGGAAAATTGTATTGAATATTGACGATTTAGACAACGTCAAAACTTCTAGTGATTTCCTACAACTAACCTTCATATAATCGGAATCGCTTTTGGAATAACTTGTATGCCTGAGATTATTTAAACAAAGGGCGAAGTACCAAGGATTGATTTGGAGGCAGCTAGAGTGTATGCTGTTATTTGTGTTGGCTTATCTCCCTAATGCAACTAATGATTTGGCAAATTTCTGTTTGCAATAATACTTCTGTCGGTACTTCTAATAGAATAAATTGCTTTCTACGTTGTCATGTCCCGTGTCTTATCAATGATGCGTTTGTTTAAATTATACTCATATGTGTAATACATTCTCTAGTGCAATTATAATTTATAATTCAAACCATCGATTAGTTTGTTTAAATCATTTAAACTGTTGTTTGTGGAATTGCATATACGAAGAATTTTAAACAAGAATAATTCATTAAATAATTAGTGATATTTCGCGGGGAATCTCGAATAGATGAGCAATTACTGTGACAAAATGTCTGACGTGACGCTTGCCTAACAAGATTCCCCGCGTGGTTGTACACTAACAACAACCGCAATGACTATAGCCAAGCGGCATCAGATATCAACACTTTGTTGCGCAAATTAGTGGACTACACTACACTCTTTTTATGATGGCTATGACAATTCTGCGCTGCCTTCTGTGTATACCTTTTTTGTGCAATTGTATATGTATTTTTTTCTGACGGTTGAGTAGAATTAGCTGAATCTGGACTCCGCCATCCTCATGGACATTTTGTTTATTTGAAGAACATTTTTTTAAATGAAGTCAGTTATTATTGCACAGTCGAGCAAGTTCGCAAGCACAAGATGTCGCGACTGGTGCCGTAAACATACCAAAGTTTAATTGTAAATTTAGAACAAACAAACTAAAACATTCTGGCAGCATACACGAACATAATGTAACTTATTTCTGTTCTCAAAATTATCTCCTTATTTGATATATTTGTTCCTTTTCCTTGATATTGACTAGTTTCTGGCGAATTAGTATGTTGATAGAAGTCAGGTCCTACATACACCAAGAATGACTTGAAGTGCACCAGTTTGAAATATATATTTCAATGGAATTGGCTATTAGGAGCAGAGGGTGCGCTTCATGTTCAGTACATGATTATTAAGTTGAATGGTGTGAACGCGTTTTAAAGTGCTGAATATCTAAGAGCATTTTTGGTCGATCATAAAGTGATGTAGAAGGAATAGCGATGAATGTTTTATCAGAACCTCAAAACTCGATAGTTTTTTAGCTTATTGATTTTATCAGTTATTTTAGGGTGCAAGGTCACAAAGTCGTTGGCGTGTAGACTATTTTATCAAATAAATCAAATAAAAAATTTTACGTTTTCAATTACGTGATCATTTTGGAATAATATTAGCTGCATGGCTTGATCTGTTAAAATGTAATAGGTGAAAAAATTACATTTGCATAATTCTATACTACATCCAGGAAAAAAGTGATCATACGTAATTTGAGGAAAATACCAGAGTAGCTATGGCTAAAATAGTACGGAAATGCACCATCGAAAGCGTGCGAGATAGCATTTAGCTGTCTGACATTGCATTGATCACTTAAACTCGAGCGAAGTTTCTATTTTCCATGTGTGTACAATGCAGCTTAAAGATTTATGGATGCTTACGACGGTTTTTGTTTTATGTTTTGTTACTTTCATGTTTTCCCACGTGAACAATTTTGTATGGTTTATCTGAAGTCACTTGAAATAGAATAAAAAACCTTTGGTCGGCGCGTCCTTTGTAATTTCATGACGTATCATAGGCGTGCGGTTATTTATTTAGAACGATAATAATAATGTTTTTTATATCACAATAAATGGATTTTACTATCTTCTTATTTTTTTGATTTGGGATAAAAAATACTTATATTGGGAGTTTAATTATGTTGACTGAAAGTTAAGAAATGGAAAAATTACAGAATTCCAACGTTTGACATAGGCAAATATTTACATAGCAGGTAGGTATATAAAAAGGTATATAAAGACTTACATTATAGGTATTTATATATCATCCTCGCCTTCGGAGCTGTCGCTAGAGTCATCTTGTAGAGGAATTACACGGGATTTACAGGAGGCAAAACACAATATTCATTTTCTTTTTCAATAATATGCCTAGAACACTGCTTCCATAGGTCTGTGGCAGCAATATGAGATACTGCATCTCTTTATTGTGGCCAATAGCGATTCACTTAATTGAGGGGTCTGAATTATGTTTTCTTACTTTTTTTTTTAAAGCAGCCCAGACCAACTCAATCGGGTAAAAATGCAGTAATAGGGAGGTAGACGTAATACTTCATGGCCATTTTGCTGAAGCAGATTGTCAACAACATACTCTTTTTCAAATTTTGTCTTTTAATAAGATCCAATAATATGGCTTTGGTTGATTTTTGTGGTATGTATTTCCATTCCCTTTCCTTCATAAATCAATAATGTCTTGTTTTTTGTGCCTGTATTCGAATTTTGTTTTTTCTGTCGGGAATGGTATGGCGCATTGTCCCATAATAATCACTGAATTTGGGGAAATGTTTGGTATTAACTGCTGCTCTATCCACTTTTCAAATAAGTCGGAGGTCATGTCCTCATGATAGTCGGCACATGATTCTTTGATATTTTTGGCAGATAACAGCAAGGCATTAGGTATAAATCCATTTTCACTGCCAGCATGGAGAATAATGATTCGTTTCCACGGTTGCATGGTGCATTTAAAATGCACTTGTTGCTGTCGTCAACCCAGCCGTACTGCACAACATCATGGGTATCATACCACGTTTCATCAGGTAAATCAGATTTCTTTTCTGCTCTCTATAGATTTTAACTTTGTGCAAAAATTCTTGGCGCAATTCAACGATTCGAGACGACTCCATAATCACCATTCTTTATCTAATTTTTTGTATTGAAAACCACACAGTTTTACAATACAGTGCAGTGAGTCTAAGCATTTGTAATTATAAAAATCTTCAGGATAATCTTTTAATTTATCCCGTATCATTTCCAACGTGGGCACCAAATTTTCTTTATAAAATCCGTATATTATACGACGAATATCTTCCTGAAAACCCACGTCTATTCTTTTTAATTTTTGCCCTATGCGCTTTCTGTGGAAGGAATGGTTGACTACATCTCCCCTTTTTATAGCCCGATAAATGGTAGACTGACTGATTTTGTCAGGATACAAATTCTGTAAATTTGATTTTGCGAGGAATCTGGATTTTCGTTTTTCAGACAATCATACATATTTAGGATTACTCTTTGGGTCTGTTCCTCTAAATCTTTATGAAAGAATTCTGCCTGCACAGGTTCATCAACCATCTCCTCGTGGCTTGGAGCATTTTCCCAAGGTCTCCAAAGAGCCATATTTAGGACCACACAAGAACAATCAACACAACAATTAAATCAACAAGTAAACTGAGTATTCAAAAGTCAAAAACACACAAAACTAATAAAATCTATGAAAAAATACGGACAGACTAAAGAAAACACGTTTTATTCACCGCTACACGGCACTGGCTAAACTGTTTCAATTTTCAGTAGCCACCTGCACTTGTTCAGAGCTCTGAAATACACGCTTTCTCATTGGCTATGTCCACGCATAGGCGTGCTTTACTCCACGTGGACCGGATGAAACTGCCTTTGATCTTATACGGGGGATATTTGCTGCGAAATTTGGCGATTTTTGCAGCAACAGAGCGTGTTAAATATAGATATATAAAACGCACCCGGTATTTCACAGTGTTTCAAGTGACTTCAGATAAAGTATACCTATGGCGACTAGTAATTGTCGTTAAAACTTCCCGATTGCCAAGTCCTTTTCCAGGAATCTACAAGGTTTGATCAAACGAACATGGCATTAATCAAACTTTAAAACTACACGCATGAACGCTAGATAAATTATCTTCATTGAGGCGCACCTATAAACTAATGTAATGTCACCGTCATGGATCGCCGCAGTCGCCTTATCCTTTCATAATGGTTCTTCCATTTAAACTTTGCCATCGGTTTTGTTAGAATAATGCTTGGCAGGAGTTGTAGATATTCTATTTTCTTATCCTTCTGTTATTTTGATCATTATCCCGCAATAACACAAATGAATTACATGGTAACTGTATACGTAAATAAAAATACTTACATAGCGAATGGCGATGTGCATATTTAAATAGATCTTGCTCTTACATCAAACAGAAGGAATATTATACACTATGATTTACGCAGCCTGATTTTACGTCTATATGGACCAATAGGCCTTTCACTGGATTTATAAATAAATTATGGTATAATAGCATGGGGAGCAGCAAACATAACTCATATATTCAAATTGGAAAGAACTCAAAAAAGTATTTCAAAGATAATATCTCATAAACCCCCACTGTATCCAACTGACCATCTCTATAAAGAAACTGGTATATTAGACATAAGTCTATTATACCTACTAAAAGTTTTGATAGTGCAACACATATCCCGTCCTCTCAACCAAGAGCCGATACATTCTGACCAAACAAGAAAAAGGAATTATTTAAAGGTGCCAAAACCAGAAAAAATATAATGCTCAGCTCGTATTCTTACCTAGGACCAAAATGTTACAATCTTATTCCACAAGGCCTAAAGATGATACGTTCCAGACACACATTAAAAGGAAAGTAAAAGGCTGGATAATATATATGCCCAGGCAGAGAATTCACGAAATCGTTGACTTAAAAAGATTACACTTAACATGAAAACCAATTACTAGACTATAGTTACCGAATTAGATAAAATACCCTATACCCAACACTACCGATTTAGACAATATGCCCCTGCTGTACTCATTTACCGATTTTGATAACATACTCGATATATCCCCCAAACAGAGAACAGAAAACAAAAACACTAATAACCTAAGATAGACTTTGTTCACTAAATGAGACATTTCGCCTTAAAAAGGATCTATAATTAAATGAAGCCATCCATACTCCTACTTTATCAGATAATGTATTTTAAAATCCTATTTTAATGTTGTTATTGTTCTTTTCTTAGAAAATCACGTGTGTCTTTTTATTTCTAGTTTAAGTAGTACGTAATTATTCATAAGCTAATCCATACCCGCCTACAAGGCTAGCCTTCTGCGGGTTTTCTACCATGTTTATTGTTCTAAAATATGCCATTTCTAGTTATCTGCTTGTAGTTTGGACAATAAACATTATTATTTTTATTATTATTTAGGATTTCCTTAAAACTCCCACATACTCTACTGCATTATTAAGATGTTTTACGTTCCATAATGCGTTGTGTCAAAATAATTAATAATGCATGGTTTAGCGTTAGCCGCAGTTCATAGCCACATCAGAAAATGACAAAGCATATTGTTACAGGTGCCTCGGGATGTATATCTACATTGATCCACGATGGATTTATGAACCCTGCTGAAGGTAAGATTTTACTTCCCACGCCTACTGGCGTAATCGCGAAAATTTTCGAAAATGAGATATGTTTTTTGGATGTTATATGACATGTAAATCACGAAAAAGCAAATCATTAATTTCCGTCGATCTGTCCGCTAATCTTATAACACCCTATAACTTGCGAAGTATCTCTCGGATGTTGATGAAGTTAGTACACAATGAAAGTATCATGCCAAGGACGCAAAAGCTCTGTAACTCTTTGAAAATCAGTCCGGTGGCGGCGAAGAAAAAGGCAAAAAAAAATTACGCAAACTTGGTTTTTTGGCGTTTGAGACGATCCTCATCATTTTCGGAAATTTTATTGTAGGGATTGAAAATCGGTGGTTAGGGGTTACAGGGGGTGGGGGAGGGTATATCTCAAGTTTTTGACGTTGCTATATGTATTTCTACGCCTCCAACCCCATTTCTCTCATCATAGATGTCCCCTTACATACAGTATCTTGTAATATTTGCAAGCGACTTATCTCTACGTTTGCCACAATGTTTTTATCTACTTTCTTAGGAATATTCAATTTGTGTGAAGTCCAGGGGATTAATGAAACATAAGCGTTATTCTAGTGTATTTTAATTTTCGTTCGTGTTTTACATTGTGTTAGGTGAATTATAAGGTTGAATAAACAATGACGGAGGAAGCTACTACTTTGCATTGACGTTATTTGAACTATGGATTTGATTTTGACGGAATCCGTATAATGCATTTTATTTTATATAGGGTGAATCAAATACAATGGCGATATGTCTAGAGCTGAAGGTTATTTTTCACGGTACTTACGTGTTGAAGTCTATCAGATCAGGGAGTGACATATTCGGCATATTCTTAATATCAGCCTATTTTGCAGAGATATGAATCGACCGATAAGACTGACCATAAATATGCCGATAAAGGACGACCGATATAGATATTACGTTTAACGTTATTGAATGGAAAAACATTACAGTACATAGACCAACATATTAATTATGCCGAAGTAATTTCTTTTTGTTACGCGTATAATAAAACAAAAGTTAACCACAGTTTCACCTAAATCCGAAAGGCTTTCACGGCCATCATCCAATGTTATTTGGTTGGCTTTTGGGTAGAATCTTCAGAAGATGTTCAGAGTTCGGAGTCCTATGAGCTACTGACAGTAGCTCACAGAAGATGCCAACCACTCGTGTTGGTGAAACGCCAAGAAAAAAAATATTTTACCACGGCCTAACTATCCAAAAACTAACCAAATAACATTCACCTAAATCGCTTAGTGCATATTTGACGGTTCGCGATTTTCTCCAATGAGTACGACACAAATTTGTACTATCAATTTCGTCAGTCTTTTGACCAGTCATTTTGTTGAAATACTGGCAGACAGCATTAGCACAGTATTAAACTTGAATGGGAAAAATTGCTTGTCGACTTCCGGAAGTCGGGCTTGCGCCAGGTACACATCTAGGATGTGTATAGTAGACTTTTGCAATCCAATTTTTGTAATTCGAAACTGTATTGTAAAAATGTTTATACTAGATGCTGCGCCTTTTTTGACTGGTTTTTTCTTCCCACGCCTACTGATGGGGAAGTATTCTAATCGCGTTTTTTTTAAGGATCATAGCGAAAGCAGCTAATGTGAGTATGTGTGGTTGTTAAGGATTTCGTCCGCGTACCGTCGATTACATACACGTCCTCTATGTGCAAGGACTTGTTTGTAGCCCACATACTCACCAGAACCAAAATACACCAGCTGTGGATGTTGTGATTGTCCGTAGGTGGTAGACGGTGTCTGACTGTCGAACGCGGAGGTACTACCCGGCGGATCTCGTAGGCGGAGCCAGAATGTGTGCATGTTGCATGCACACGTGTTCCCTCGCCAGAGTCCTTGTGGCGTTCCCCCTTTCCCCTGTATCCCCCTATAGCCTCTTGGTACCCAATGGGTGTTTAGGCCTTAGGCCTTCGTGGTAGTTGGAGTATACAAAAAATTGACTCTATCAATAGATCTGTCACACTTAGATTTACGGAATAGTTGTAAAAAAACTATATCTGTTAGATCGTAATTACGAGTATTTTGATAATGTATGTTTGTACTAAACAAGTACAGGAATACAGGTGTACATATTCACGTGTAGTGCAGCAGCTCTCTGATTTAAACGAATTCAATATAGCAACATAAATAGACACATACGCGAAAAGTGATGTGGGACGTGTGGTATTGATTTTGAGCATCGATCGACGCAGTTTCTAGACAGGCCACAGGCGCACCGCTAAACAAATCTCATAAATGTCGTATTTACAATTTAGGCATTCATCTAACATAGTGCTTCGCTACAACATCAACCCCGTCAGTCAAGCTTTACACACTTTTCAAATTACTATTGAGCAACAATCAGAACATAAATCACTTTTTAAGTGCAATCTGTATAGCTAATATATTACCCAGACTTAGATTTGTCACAAGTCACAATCCTCGTATATACGTAAGGGTTGTGTTGTAAACAAGTGATGTTAAAGAGGGACAGCATTTGGAATACCAAAGGATACCAAAAAATCATAATGCTCAGTCCCTATAGCTATAACTTTTAGTTAGCGCCCCCCGCGCCGCCCCTCTAAATCCGCCAGTGGTGAGATATCATTCCCCTTACCACATACACTATACTCAATGTCAAATTTCATTAACTAAAGCTTATTTTTGAGGTAAAACTTTTTTACGTTTTTCTTTTGAATTTTACCTCGAATATTACCACCATTTTTTACTCCAAGTCTCCAAACCATGTAAAATTAAATATACTATTCTATACAGCAGTAAAGTAAAAAATATCCTATTTTTCACGCCTTCTTGATCCACTACTGAGATATATTTTCATTTCAATGTTATAGTTTCGTATACCTTATTGAATGTACTTTCAGCCCTAGAAACAAAATTCATTTAATTTCCGAATTAAAACTTGGTGCTCTGATTCCAAGGTATTGAAAATCAACATTACTAGATTTCTTAACTTCCGTAAATTTTGAAAAAATAATGACATTGACGAAATGCGATACTACTCGCCTAGTTGGTTTAGATTTAGTTATTTTTATTGTTTACTGTATTTCAGTGGTGAAACAACGAATGCAAATGGTAGGATCACCTTACAAATCGGCCCTGAGGTGCGCAATCAATATTTACCAAAAAGAAGGCCTGGGGGCATTTTATCGTTCCTATACAACCCAGCTGACAATGAACATACCATTCCAGAGCATACATTTTATGGTGTATGAGCTGTCACAAACGTTTTTGAACAAGGTAAGCACGCCTCGATTCCTTTTGAACCCTACACAACGCTCGATTTTTTAATCACAGGTTAACTGTCAATAGTAGACCCCATCTACTTTACAGCCAGAATCGTCAGCCATCTAGCGGTCACGTGGTGACTGGGCTATTATACGTGAACGGAGATCCCTCACAGTTCCAACTAATAGCAGCTATTCTCTTGGTCGATTCTGGTGTAATATATGGCGCTTTTTGCTGTTTTATTCCCTCCGGGATAGAGGATAGTTGCGATGCTTTCGTTCGTTGTCCAGAGACGAGAGACCAAGCCTAGGCCTTGATGATGAGTAGCCAAGAAGTGCGAAACACCTGTCCATGGTCGGCTGTCTTTTGGTCGGACGGACGAAAGCATAACGTTTAGTTTAAAAATGTTTGCGTCAAATATTCCTTTTTTTTGCAGGATCGAGCGTATAATCCATTGGCTCACATGGCAAGCGGAGCGATGGCGGGAGGCATGGCCTCTGCTATTACCACCCCACTGGACGTTTGTAAAACGTTACTGAATACTCAACAAAGCGGTAAACCCAGCGGATTAGTGCAAGCAATTAAGCTGGTCTATAGACTAGGAGGACCTACGGCATTCTTCAAAGGTCAGTATAGGAATAAATTAAACTGCTAATATGGCTTCAAAATATTATGCAAGCTTGCGTAGGCGTCTTAGGTTGTTCAAGGTCAAATGTAAAAAAAAAAGACGACCGAAACGTGAAATATCGCTTCGAAATCACCATTTTTACTTACCGCGAGCAGGTATTGTGATTGCGAAACATTTCGAAAATATTGTTTCTTTGACGTGTATTACGAAAAAACGAGTCACTCATTTCCGTAGGTCTGTCCGCAAATCCTTGGGCCCCCTAAAAAATTGGAAAGTACCTATCGGATTTTGATGAAAGTTTATCGCAAGGTAACTTCTATGACCACGATGGAAAAGCAGTGTTGTTTTTGAATATCGATCCACTGGTGGTGGATCCGCGGGCAAAAAAAGGGAATCGCTTAAACTTATTTTTGAGTTTCAGAAAAGTATAGCAAATTGGACATTGTAGGGGGTAGAGAGTTGTAATTATTGTCTCTTCGGTATCACAGAAAGATGTTCTATCATTAAATTGCTTCAGACCTTGGTAATAGTATGCACCTATCAAATTAAAATGGTAACATGTTCCAATCACGCCACCGATATTTAATGCTGCGCGTCTCGAGTTGTGCTCCCCGCTGCTCGTGCAGCAACCGCTTCACCTCACGAAAACGTCAGTTAACTGTGACCTTGACGATAAAGATACAGGCATGCCATAAGCATGCGGCGTATGTTCTTTCACGAGTGGACGGAAATTTCAGTAGCGTTACTAATATTTGACATATTGCTTTTATTTTTTTTTTGAATCACGAGACAATTTTAACGTAGCAGTCTTTCGAATAAACTTTGTGCCAAGTAGGCCGACTTTATATCTCTTATGCTATTATTGTTTTGATCTATTTTTTATGCAAATAAATGGAACATAATTTAATTGATGACAGCGTTGCGTGGAAAGTACAGTCAACCTAATTGACGCCATTTTCTAAGATGGCGACGATTGGCTAATCCAAGAATCGAGACAACTGTGTTTTATACCTGTATTCACCAATATGACCATTACCGAATGGGCGTAAGAAACTGGGTACTTTAAAATAATTGTATTCGAGTAAGCACCTTATCACTCGTCTACTTTGCGGTGTATCTCAGCAATGGCGGATTGTATGAAATATTGTTATACAGGTACCTAGATTGTAAAGAGTTGTATTTTCTACAACTTATCTGATAAGTCCAAGTGGCGCTGGCTGCAAACAAAAAAACGTTTAGGCTCTGCAGGTTCAAATCCCGTCTCAAGAGAATTTTTTTCGCTATGGGTATGTGGATTGTCAGTAGGTGGTACACGGCCGCTGACCGTAGAGCGTGCAGGTACCACCCGGCGGATCTCTAAGGTGGAGCCAGAATTTATACACACGTGTTTCCGCGCAAGACTTCGTGTGACCCCCCTCTCCCGTCTTTCCCCTGTATCCTCCTATAGCACCACGGCACTCGCGGATAATTGAGCTTTAGGCCTGCGTGGTGAATATAAAAAAGACGCCAGCATGAGGTTATATGAAACTACTGAGCCAAGTTATAGAATGTGAAAACAGGTAAAGGTCCATGCAAATTTTCTGTTCTGAGGTTAGCAATTAATTTCTTGGGTTGATATGAATAGCGGACCAACTTCCGTAAAATCTATAAATCTAATTCGTGAATGTAAACTGTAGGTATGCAAGCTCGAGTGATGTACCAAATGCCCGCAACAGCCATCTGTTGGTCAACGTACGAGTTTTTCAAATACATCCTGGGCAAGAACCACGAAGTACGAGTGATACCACAACCTCTGTCACCAGAAAAAGAAACCTCAAAGTTAGAACCTGCGCCTAGCGACGTCCACAACGAAAAGTACAGTCTGAAGTCCAGGGACTTACCCGCAATGTCCAGCGCAGGCCTGTATGGCTCCATTCAGTTTAACACCATGCACAAGACCGACTACAAAAAGAAAGACTTCACCGATATGATCCATACATAGCGATTTTAAGTCGCGTACCTCATTCTGCGTACTGTAAGTATTATTTTTAACCGTTGAACATGTGTACAGATTTGTAATATATATATATATGAATATGATTATGATAAATGTTGGCTTATTCATCTGTGTTGGGATGATGGAAAAATAGAATTTAGGGTGGTGAGTGGGCACCAGGCACAAAATATTTTTTTTGAAAAATTTGTTACTTTAGAATATCCACTCAAAACTTCGGCCATTTTCTGTATGTAAATATATATTGTGATTGTATCAAGAATAGACGTCAATGATTGTAAATTGGCTTAACCAGTTTTAACAGTCAACATTTTCCTTGAACAATAACTTGAAATATAGTAATTCTCTGTTACTTTGTGCTGCTACGGTAAACTAAATTGATATTTTCATTACCCCATTTTTTATCGAGGTAGATCACCTTGAGGAGCCAAGATAAAAATGTCGACAATATACTGAAACTAGTTTTTTTCAATATGTTTTCTGTAATTTTATATTTTTGCCTTAACTTCTTGTTGCAGTTGTGTGCTCATGTTGTTTGTGACAACTGCAAGATCAAGTGATGAAGTTTCTCTTTACAAAATGGCTGTATCAAATATAGCATTTCAAAGATAATTGTAGATGTCCCGTTTTATCAGAGGTGGCATTCTAGTTCCTCATTGCAAAATGCTTAGGAGTAAAAATAAGTAGTTATTAACTTTTGTGTTAGATGGCCTTATTGCTGTTTTCATTTTTTATTTCAATTTTTCATGGTATTTAATTCTCCTCTTCTCAATTTTTGTTTTATTGTATTTGAGGGATTTCATTTAAACCATTTCACATTCATATTGTTCATAATAATCAATCGTATATCGTGGCTTTTGTCAGAACTGTAGTGGAAACTGGAATGCTATTCTATTTCAATATCTAAAACTCTGGCAGTGTTTAGCTATTGAAGAAAAAATAACTCTTTCCTTCAAACTTTTATTTCCTCAAAAAGGATAAAAATGTACGTATGTATGAACGTATTAAAATAAAACTCATACAATTTCATATGTTGATATTACAAGTATACATTTTAACATCAAATAATAATCATCTTTTACATTGCTATATGTTACCATTTGAGGTACAGATACGTTGAATATCTTGCACATTAGGAATACGGTTTGATACTTGATCTACGTTTGTATACCTACCTCAATTTCTATGACATAACTATAAAAGACATTTAAGAATTCATGCGACGTTGCCAGACTTCGCACAGATTAGCAGAGACATATAAAGTAACATTTTGTAATCCATTCTACGCTTCGGATTTATTTCAATATTTTGATAATATTTCGACGGCCTGCAATCGGTGGTACTATCGTTGAACAGATGAAAACAAAATGTTTTCAAACTGTTGTAAGACATCAAATACCAGTGCTGGCTGCTGCAGAAAAGTTGAAACAACAACATACCGTGTAATATCGATTTCAACGTACTTACGCCAGATAGCACCTCGACGTTCGCTTTTGTGCTGTGAAACAAAACATCAGTGTGATGTTTAGCAATATGATTTTCTGTTAACCCTATGGGTCACTATACACATGTATGCATATGATAGGTACTACTTCCATTTTTATGTTGTATAATTATTTTGCCAGATAGTGATATTTTTGGTCAAATTATGAGTAAACTTCCATTGGCAGTGACGCAGAAAGAAATTCATCACCAGGTGGAACAGTGGCAGAGCAAGGTGGTTTAGCTGGATAAACTAAGTATTTTATATGATTTTGAATCATATGATATTTCATAAGCTCAGTAGCTCGTACCCACATTGAATCTATCAATATAGCTTTTTTTGAGGAATTACTTTTTATATAATAATACACAAAGATATTAGATGCGCATGTATGTGGTGCGATGTTTCTTTTTCCAGAATGCCGAACAAGACGTTTTACTTCCAAATGTCATTATTCTGCTTTTTTGTCCTCTTAGCAGAGTAGCAACGTTCTATTTTCTGTATTAATATAAAACGCTAAGTTTATTCAGCCCAAAACCAATTTTGCTATTGTACAAGCCATTATGTGGAACAAATTTCTCAACGATTTGTTGATGAACTTATGTAATATAAATCTAATGGAGGATAGGGCCAGTCTTACTGCTATGAAGAAAACTAACAATAAAAATGTAAATAAATGAACAGTGAATAATCTGACCATTATGCTGCGTTTAATGTTTTGTGTTTGTTGCAACAAGACTGTCCTAGTAAGGGGGGATCCTTCCAGAATAATATCAATTTCCTGAAATCAGAGAGATACACAATAATTGTTTTAAAATGTGTAATGGGTACATTGATAGTCTGCTGGAAGCATCTTCCTAGGTTTCACACAAATTTCGTCATTACCAACTGATATAAGAATATGTTGGTTACCATTTAGCCAATATTTCTTATTGATAACTTATGATTCTGTTCTAACTGAATGATTTTCAGCCTCTCGGTAGGCCTAAATTATTTGGGTTGGGGATATTACTGAACATTGAATCAGAACGATTTTCTTTTTCAACACAACTTAGCTGGATAACATGACCCAAATGTCAAGACACCACTATTGAAGGTTAACAACTACTGCTGCTTATAACTCAAACCAGTAGTCACATTTTTTTTATAATAAAAATAAGGGTCCCAATTTGTGTTTAGAAATTGTTGCATAGATGATATTGTCAACAACAATAAAGTACAATTGAGTAACCTTAAATCAACGCCTCAGTGCTCTTGTCGTCTTATCTGAATACCCCAATTTGCATTTATAACTGAAAGAGTTTGCATTCGTTAACAAATGATGGCAGATGGATGATTTTATGGTTTATGGGATTCCCAGACATACAGATATACAAGCAGATGATAGATAGAAAAAATTTCGCAATCCTTAACATGAATCAGTATACAGCATCATGTCAATAAAACTTGCGAATTTTGTGTGAAACTTCGTGCTGCCAGTTAATCTTTACGTTTAGTTTGCCATTTGTCGCTAAAGACGTTTTATGAAGCTGTGATAAAGTCCTTATCAACTGATACGTATGATATTGACTTCGTTCAGATGGGAGTACTATCATATTCGTTACTTTTCGTTATTTTGGAGATGCGTGCGCATACTGCGCGTGGCATTTTTCCGTTTTTGTGATAAGAGACTATGTCACCAAAAAAGCATAGAATACTGTACAATACTGGACTGATGCTGATAGATGAATGATATTTCTTCGATAATTCGCTGAGTGAGGAAAAAACATTAAAATGACCATTTGAAGTTAGATGTTTTCTAATTGACAATTTTATGCCAAGAAAGTGGCTCAACATAATCATATGAAACTGGTTCTTCACTGAGAACATTAAAATAGACATACGTTAATATTTGTCACCTAATTTTATCGATGAAATACTATAGTTTATATACCTTTGTCCAGTAGTGTATATCTTGTTTTAATAAGGTTTGTATTGATGAAAACAATTTAAATATAATGTTACATAAAACCATAATATTGTTTTGACTTAGTTTTAGGAACCCAAAAACATTGGGAGCATTGAAAAAACGTGCTTCAGCATCTAATGTCAGTGTCACTATGATATTAAATTTGGTTAATCAGTATCCTTCCATGATGTCTAATTTGATTTGATATCAGACTGACATTACCGCTATGCAGCTCTTCCCCTTCCTAAGTGTGCCCTTTATCTTGCGATCCTTTTAGCCTTTGTGGGAATCACACAAAAGACAAAAGTAACATTTCTATTTAGTGGAAGTTAACTTTGTTCAAAGATTCGGCGTGGTAGAATTAACTTCACAAGTTCATTAAAAAAATCCCTTGAAATGGAGAAGTTGATGTCGTTTGAGGATTAAATGATATTGTGAATAGTGATCATGCGCCAGCTGTCTAACTTACGAATTCATTCAGTGATAAGTTTGCAATCCTGTTTTCTTATCAGTCGAAGTGGTGATAGTAGTATTGACTATAAAAATTAGTTATGCTGAGACGTCAAGTCATTCCCGCTCTGGAGGCAGTCCCCCTCTGGGATCATCTGTTGCCATTCTACCCTGTGCGAAGACCAGATGGGCTGTACTGTGCCAAACATAAGTACCACAGCTTTATACCTTTATATTCAATAGAGTGTATTTGTGGGTACTTCTGTTTTTTCATTATCGGTTCTTTGCGGCGTCAAGCGAGACTTCTGTCAGGATTAAAACTACACCTCCCTAGTCACAATCGTGACAGTATAATTTAATGAAATGAACTTCGCGACTATTAGACAAATACCTCTTATTAGTCGATGTCTTCAGGTGGATTAAGTGATATACAGGGTGGCCCATAAGTCCTATGAGCTGGAAAAAAATGAATAAAACCAAACTAGTTACATTATGAAGAATTATTATATTTTGTTATCATCTTTATTGAATGGGAATTATGTTTTAAAAATCACATCGTCTAAATGCAATCCATTACGATCACGGCACTCATATAAACGACGTCTAAAATTGTCGATGACTGCGCGGCAAGTCAACACTGTAATGCTTGCCATTTCTCTTCGGATATTTTCTTTCAGGACATCAACTGATCGCGGAGTGGTGTCGTACACTTTACTCTTGAGGTAGCCCCATAAAAAGAAGTCCATTGGGGTCAAATCTGGACTACGTGGTTGCTGGAAAAAAGTTGACAGACGACGGGCATAGAAGTGTTGGAGGTGTGGGCAGTTGCTCCGTCCTGTTGAAACCAGGTCTGCGTATTATAGCCTGGAAAATTCTGCAACGCTGGTGTCAAAAACTCTTCTATCATTGCTACATACCGCTCCGAAGTAACATTCAATGCGCGACCTCTGTCGTCCTCAAAAAAATAAGGGCCTACGATGCCATGCGCTGACATATCAGCCCAAACTGTATCTTTAGGGCTGTGTAAGGGTTTCTGATGCTTACGCCTTGGATTTTCGGGGCTCCAATAACGGCAATTTTGTTTATTTACATGCCCGTTTAAATGGAAGTGAGCCTCGTCCGAGAACAACACATTATTGAGCGAAGAAAATCGATTCAACATTTCATTCGCAAAGTTTAGTCTCTGAATAGCGTCATTATCTTTTAATTCCTGCACTAACTGAATTTTGTAAGCGTGCAGACGTAAATCTTTCCTTAAAATCCGCCTAAAGATGTTCTGGGTACGTTTAGTGCACTGGAACGCTTACGAGTAGACTGGGTAGGATTTTGACGAACAGACTGTGCCACAATGCTGATGTTTTCTTCAATACGAGTTGTCCTTGGTCGACCCCACCGCTGTTTATCTAACGTCGAACCAGTCTCTTCGAACTTAGCAACCCAGTTCTTAATCGTTTGAGCTGTTGGACACTTTGTAAAATTGTGTAAATTGTGGTATTCTCGATATTTACGCCGCGCAATGGTTGCCGAATCATTATTTTGATAAAACGCGCCCACACAAAAAGCACGATCCGCTCCAGTGAAACACTCCATGGCGACTGAATTCCCAGACACTGAAGATACTGTCCCCACCTCGCCCGCGCCGCTCACGCTCACCCGTTAAATTTTATTCAAATTTGAAATTTCAAAGGACTTATGGACCACCCTGTATTATGGTGAAATTAACTTCTAGAGCTTATTTGACAAAATCTCGATCAGGCGTAGTCTGGGTCGTCGGGTAGATTAAAGGATATAGTGTGGTGAAATTACCTTCACAAGTGTATCAAGTCAAATCATCTTGAACAAGAGTAGTCGATGTTCTCTGAGGGATTAAAGCATGTGGCCTGGCGTGCGAGTCAACTTCGCAAATTTATTTGGCAAAAACATCTCGAACGGGAGTAGTCGATATTGTCGGATAAAAATCGTTTTGCAAAATTGACTGTATCCGCCCATGTCGACTTAGCAAGTTAATTTCACCAGAGTATATCGACTAATCCTGCGGTTTTTTCGATGCGCTACGGATGATTAACTTCGCATTTTTCAGTATGTTTATATATCTTCTCTGGCCATCTACCAGTCGGTATCATGCAAACGCTCGAGAACGTCCCTGGTCATAGTAATCTACACTGAAAACTGACGGCTTGAGTTCAGTGTGTACGAGAGAGTGTTACATGTTAGAAAGAGATAGAAGCCGCCTGGACAGCGAGGCTAATCACCGCGTTGCCTGGCAACGCTGACGCGCCATTCTGCCGCATTGTCAATATGTTACACCAGTTCCTTGAATTAAGAAGCATTTTGAAAATATGCGTTAGTTTATTCTTTACGTAAAAATAATGGTTTTGAGCGCACACATTTTTGAGTTGTGAATTGTGTCGAATCTGTTTAAAATTGATTCCCGATCGGTTCTAACGGCGCTCCATTTTAGGTCGAAATGAAACATCAGGATCGCCACAAATTCTGCAACGTTGCATCATTGGTTCGTTCGATAACACTGCATCTTGTACATTCTAAGCCCACGTTTCCACCTCCATGATCATAGTTGACCGATCTAGCGCTCGTAGGGGAATATCGTCCTAATTGAAATAAATAAATAATTCTAATCAAAATGAAAACAAAATATTAAATTAAATGTTCGAACAGACCTCCTTGGGTTTAACAGTAACTCAACCTATTGTAGCAGCCTATGCGAAAATTTTCTGGTGTAACATATTGGCAATTCGGCAGATTGCAAGACCTGCGTCCGCGTTAATAGGGAAAGTGTTGACTTTCGCTCTTCGGCCTGCTTCTATCTCTTTCTAACATGTACGTTGATACATGCTTCCCGCGCTTTTCTCGTACACATTGGACTCAAGCCGTCAGACAAATTTGATTTTCCCTGTATGAGTGAAGATGAAATAAAACATATTCACTGAAACACAATATGTATTTAGAAAAGAAAATACAATGATATCTCGTAAAATTTTTCTAAACAATTAGTATATACCTAGCCATCATACCATTGGTTAACGTAACGGAAATGTTTTAATCAATGATCATACATATTTTACAAGTTTGAAAAACCGTTTGTTTTCTGTAGTACTAATGCAAAACTGAAAATCACGAAGCAATGTTCCTCCATACGTTTATAATTACTCGCTCATACATGAACCACTTTTTATAACAAAATATACTGCATGCCGAGAGCAAAAATAATTCCGCCATGTTTTTCCCATGTAAGGGAAACGGAACAAGTGTCAACCACGCAGTACAATACTGCGTTTAAGAGTGATCAGTGACACCACCGCGCAAATATTTTTGTTCCCGATTGTGAATGCATCATAAATAACACCCTAGGTTCACAAATACAGAAAATGGTACAAGTAGGCGAAGAAACATATACAAGAACAATGGATAAGAAAAAATGTGCAAAGCATATTTTTTTTCTACTTTGTATAAATGCACATTTTGGCATTTTTGCACATCCACCAAAAATAACAATATTTTTAATTGTGATGTCTAAGTTATTTTCATATTTGTCCAAATTCCCATTATTTTGACTTCAGATTGGTGTTCAGAGTGAAACATATATGGGAAACAATACATAGTGAGATTTCAAGCACGCGCCACTTTTTATTTTTTTGTGGATCGTTTTTATGCGTTTTCTCTACAAATTGTCCACCGCTCCCCAAGTTTGACTTCAGATTCGCATTCAGCGTGAAAAAGTACATTGGAAAAGCATAATCGGACTCCAAGCATACACTACTTTTTTATTTCATGGGCCAGTACTATAACAAAGGAAGTTAATTGAAAGTAAGGTATATGGTGATTCCAAGTTTCCGGTAATATGAACATTGTAGGAAAATGGATAAGGAACACGATTTTCGTTAGTGTACAAATTTAATACTGTTTAACAGCAATCACCTGGGACACAAATGCGCCTCTTTGATACATTTGGTCGCGGCTTATCAATCGCGGATCCGTTATTTTTCTGAAAGTTAGCTTTCAAAAAGCGTTTTTCAATGTCAGGTTGATTCTAAAACTGTAATTAACTGTAACTAGAAGATCCATAAGTTAGCCAAAGTGCTGCAGTTAAACGGTAATGACGCAATGTTTAACGTAGTTTGCTCGACAGTGGCAAAAGTTGTCACGTATAACCGGGAACAAACAGCATCATCATCACGAAACGCGCAGGGTTGTAGTTGGCAATGGCATAACTTAATGCTGCAGTCAGCAAAAACAGTCTTTCCACATCAACAGTTATGGGTTAGTTAGCCACAACTCTCAAAACTAATCTACAGGGAAGTGTTAAGTGACTTTCAGGTTAGAGTTATTCAATTCGAAAGTTAACTTGATGTTAAAAGAAGCGAGGTTATGTACCCATGTGACATTGAAACTAATGGAAAAACGCCTTCAGTCACAAATCTATGAAAAGTACCGACGTAAGGGTGGTGCTAATTATGTCTTAACAGTGTAGAAAATACTGTTTCAAAATTGTAAGGTTGATGGTGTTTCATGTATTAACATTTATCTCGGAATAATACCATAAAATCCTTAGTCGCCGCATTTGTCTGCTTTGCGCACATTGTCTCTAATCTCATTATTATAATCACTAGCGGCCTAACGGCTGGTTTATGAAACTTTTTCTTTGAGTATTATTCTATCGTTAAATTTATAGGTGAGGAAGTACGTAAATGAAATTGTTAATTTTATTTTTATTAAACTATTATTCAAGTATGCATTTGTCAAATCAATAGTTTACTAGTGGCTTGCCTTGTACTGTGAGGTAAAAAACGATGATATGATGCCGTAACCTGGTTTCGATATTTCCTGGAGGGAGATTGTTATACGTTGGTCGCACCTTTAAATAACGGTGTCGGACATTTTTCCCCAAGTGTTTAACCCTTTGGAGTCTATCGGGACATACGTGTCCCATCCATGTATTATGTGCGACTAATGGTACAAATAGATCCCGTTTTTCCATTATACATAAATATACCAGTCTCTGAACACTCACTATACAAGTACCTGTTGACAAGTAGTCACATAACTTCACAGTTTGCTGGTGAAGTCCGTCCAGCCAACATGTGCTTTGCGTTCTACTATATTCTGAAGTATTTGCAAGTGTATTATTGCCCTAACTGTATTGTGTCTGCTCTCTAAGGTTAGTAGTAAGCAATTCTCTTATAAAACGTGTTGTATTTCAGTACTTTATACTATGGGACACCTGGGTCCCAGCAGGCATTTTGAACTGGACACATTTGTCCCGGTGGTTCTGTACAACAATGAGTGAAAGGAGATTGACACAAAGAGAACTTGAAGAAGAAGTTAAAAGAATTATGGAAGATGGCTTGAGTGATGACGATTATGACCCATTTCATTGTGTTCTTCAATATAATTTCAATGGAAATAATTGTTTTCAAGACTACTGGGTCTACTATGTACCACCTAAAATGTCTAGTGGGACACATATGTCCCTGCCCTTAGCGTAAAAAGGACGTACCCTACATTCATAAAATTATCATTTCTTGATATAGTATCCATATTCACAAAAAATCTGACCTCAGATATATCACAAGTATAAGAAAAATAAATCAGACTCCCAAGTTTTAATATCTTGCACTAACAACTTGCTTAACATCGTTCATATCGATTAATTTTCTTTTGTAAACGTCCCCATGATATTTATTAGTATTTATGTAAAAAGGCACAGGAAAAAGCTTTATCTCCAAGACAATATTGACGTGTCACTATTTGTCATACTAATCTGATTTGATATCACGGAGCTTATTTACCTAGAGAAACTACGGCAATACTTTTTGTGATGTAAAAATGCCCCCAAAACTTGATACACGCGAAGTGCCAGTGGTGCTTTAGCCGTGTTGAGGGATTTTCCCCCAAATTTGTTCTGGGGGAAATTACAATTTTCGTAACTACCCCCTTGCTCTTGGAGCAATCCTATCCCTTTTCATTAATTATGATTTGGATTTCTTTTGAACAATAGCAAGTCTGAGGGATTTTTGTGCTTGTTCTGGGGAAATTCTGCCCGACTCATCTGGCAATGCTGTGTTTCCTAATAGTCTATGTTCTGGCCGATCGATTACTGCGCCTTCAGTTCGGCGTCCAGTTTTGGGTCGTTTTTTCTCATTACGCATGTTTTCCGGCCCCCGGGTTTGATAGTATGCGTTAAAATTCAGCAATAACCTTTTCGCGCAAGGTATAATTGCAAGTTGACTGCCTTTTATAGATCAGCCCTTCTATATCTAATTTAAAGGATACACTCAAAATGGTTTCACGAACGGCAGTATTTAGCTATGGCAGTTTCAACATTGATATTAATGCCAATGCTAAATGCAAAAGAAAAGTTTCATGGACCAACCTTGAGCCGCAAGTCCCTTTTTTCGCCTTTTTCCAACTAGCTGTTTGCAACAGTATTCTGAATTCTTTTCATCTGATTACTTTAGCATGTATAGGTATAATGACTAAAAAACATCGTTTTTAATTTTGTTTTGCCATAAAATTCATTTTTTTGAGGATTTCTTGTTCGATCGTATCTATTAATGCGGCTCTGAAATTGTCTGTGAATATTCCACTTTTATGGACGAATGAAACAAAAGTAATTACTTTTATTCTTATCACTTTTTCTCTTTGAAAAATCTTTGCTCTTCTTGAAAATTCAACTTGCTGCGAGACGAGGCTTTGAGACAATCAAAGATTTTTCGAAAAGGAAAAGTGATAAGAACAAAAGTAATCACCTGTTTCATTCTTCCATCAAAGAATATTCACACACAATTTCAGAACCGTATTTGTTGTATTATTTGTTAACAAGCTCCGATTGAAGAAAAAAATCAAATAAAATGCACAAAATATGCATTTTTTGAGAAAAGAAATTAAAACATTGTTTTTAATCATCTACACACCAAGAAACTATCAGACGAACAGGATTTAGAATACTATTGCAAACAGGTAGTTGAAAAAAAATTGAAAGAGGGATGTGCCACCTTAATATGTAATAATAACATAAAAAGAAATTATAATGAGTTTATGAGCTTGATGAACGGTAACTTGACGAACAGTTTGATGTACCAACTCATTCAAATTGAATGATAAAACATTTTTCAAACTTCAAATCCTAACTGCAACAACCTCGGCTTGTCAAAAGTATTCATGTTTAGGCCATGCTTAGACGCTTTTCTAAACGCTCATGCATGGTCGTCTTAAGTTATGTAGTGGCCCCTGGATACCCAGGGGGCTAAAGGCAGCTCAGGGTAGCCTGGCAGCACTTTGACATTGAGAAAAAGAGGGTAGAAGGTGAAGGCATATGTTTTTTGGAAATTTCGTCTGATTTTTAGCTATTTGGGGACCTCCAACATGCCGGACTCTAGGCATGTGTCCATTGTGCTCATATGGCAAAACTATAATAGCGCTTATGACGACTACGATTCATGGTTGTCACTTCCTCCTACTTTTCCTAACATGGCGCACCCTTTAGTTTGCATAGATATGTACAGAGCAAGCGGACGAATCCAAATTATGATCAGTAACAGATATTTTATATTATTAATTGACTAGTCTAAGCCAGCAAAAACACAGTATAATATCACAAAACAACGTCTTTTAAAAATATCCACATAAGCGACATATATATTTTTCATAAAGTAACATATACACAACATAAAATTGAGATTCCCGAGTTTCTGCTTTGCAGAAATGAAATAGTTTCATTCAAATTATGTTACACATTCTTTATGACTTATTTTGATGTAGAAAACTACACAAATTCGGCAATAATTCCCTTTGATGAGAATTCTTGCTGAAGGTGATGATGAGTATTTTACGTATTTTTAGATTTTAGCAGATATATCAAACAAAGCCGAATGATCTGCATATACTTTATCTCAATTTTGAATTGGTATATACTATCTCAAATGATGAATTAAACGAAAAAGATAACGAATTTAATTTAGGAGAGTATAGAATCCACTCAGTACTAAAATCATTCATAATAATTAGGATTATCACTCAAACACAATGAATTAATATGCTACAGAGTAGAAGCTATTTCATTAAAAGTACCCTAGGGAATGTATGTACACGTAAGTACATACAACAAACAGTACGTTTTTTTATATAAAAGCACCTGTAATAAATATAAGGCCTACTGAAGAACGCATCGTTTTCTTAAAGTAGATAAAAATATTCAGCTAAAAATTGGACACTTCCTATATTGTGAAGTATATTCAATTTTTCTCAGAAGTGGAGGGTCTATGACAGTAGTTTATAAAAGATTTATTCAATTCGTGAATCTAAATGAAAGAATTACAGAACAAGTTTGTGTACATAAAATGCAACGTCCATCAGGATATGTATTTTCGATCTTAAAAACCAAATGTATCCTATGTTTTGAATTCTCGACAAGCGTTTTTGGTAACCTGACTTTAGCTACCCTATTGAAATACAGTAGCTTTCCGTGACTTTTAGTATGCTACTGTAGGAAACCATATACGCTCCCTCTGAAAATAGTTGATACTTCGAACAACATTCCAATGTCGTTCTACATGGCGCTAAATGCTTAGAAGTTTTGATTAAATTTATTTTATCTACAAATTTTTAAACTTACATATTAACATCACAATTAGGTCAATGTCTTAATAATAATGAAAAATCAACAAAAACTTCTACTCTTGCATCTAATCTTCATGAATTTCATCTTCGTGGGCGAACTTAAGAAACACTTGTTCCAACGTTGTTTGACTGAAGCTGTATTCCTCTATGTCCAGCTCAGATTTGGCTGAAAGGAACAAAAATATTGAGTCAAATCGATTGACTCGATGCTTGTCTTCAGAATATATATTTATACTTTTGAATACCGACAATCATATTAGACGAAAATACCTCTGGTTTGCGAAATAATTGCAAAGTCTGGTTTTATTGGTGTAAGTTGTTCAAAGGGGTGTTCAAAACATGGACGCATAAAATGGGAACACCAATTTTTCTGGGAAAACTATTTATTAGACAACAAAGAATGAGAAAACCTGTTTTTTGGGATTCAATCGAAAGTGTTGGCAGGAACGAAAGAAACTATTTATGAGACCTACAAAATGAGACTACACGTAAAAAGATCTAATACTAGCAAAAAAGTTATAGCCGAAAACCGAGGCAAACTGCAGGTTTTGGCACTTGTTGGTAATGCGACGATGGTTTCTCGCAGATATTTGAAATTTTTCAAATTCGTAGGATTCGCATTTCTGAATAACCACAACAAAATTGGAGTAGATTGGTCAAGTAGTTTTCGAGAATTTCTAATTGTTTATCTCAAAACACCTGTTTTCCGACCATCACTACTAGTTTATTGAGCAACATACAGGGTTAGTTCAAAGGGCATTTTATAGCAAAATGCACTAGTTTACATTGCCGATATGAATCGCAAACTATTCAGGACGATAAATTTGTGAGATTTTATCACGGTTTTTGCTGTGTGATTCAAAAAGCGATCCTAATGGTAGTTAATATACTTGATACCAATGAACATCATTATACGAGTAGATACAAGATATATCCAAATATATTCTTATCAGTTATAGCCTCAGTATGAACAGAGATGACCGTTATGTTATTGTATAATAATAACAATAATAACATTTATTATCCTCAGTAAACAGTATATAAAAGTTTACAAATAAAAAGCCTTAAGAGAATAAATGGCTACATCAGCTTGCTCCTTAAAGAAGCAGCTGCTAGAGCAAAAAAAAACAAATTTAAACAATTCTGTAATAATGCAAATGACTACTAAGACGTTGATAATTAATAAAGTTTTGACATTAAGAAATATAGCGAAGTTATAGTAAGTAGAGAAATATAAAGAGAAGAGAAAAGGGGGAGCGGGAGATATGTTTTTATGATACATGAGACAGTAAATCACTTTTAAGGTCCTCTTAAATGTAGCTACCGAGAGAGAAAAATCTTTAATTTTGAATTTATTTACCAAAAAGGCAATTTGATATGAGAATGATTTCTTAAACGATTCTTTATTGTGTGATGGTATTGTAATCAAATTCAATCTTCTAATGCTTAGATTTATGTACATCAGTACAGTAAATAATTTTTAAGTGCAGGTAAGGGGGGCTTTTATATTTTATAATCTTGCATGCTGAGGAATTCCCCATATTTTAAGCAACAAACCTTTTGGAACAGTAAATTGAGATACTCGACTGTTATGTCGTCAAAACCAAAGTGCATGTTAGGTCAGGAAGTCCACCAGGTGTCTCCTCAAGTACCGCCTATGTATGTTCTAAGTATACCTGGGTGGTGCAACAAAAATATCACAATTAAGGATCAGTTTAGCTTAAAGTCAACCTCAGCAACGCGTTCCCAATATGTACTTCATAACGCGCAATTTATTGTTACCTAGGCAAAACAAAATTCACAAACTTCATTTGACCATTGTATTTACAATGGTGGAGCCATAAAATTCGCGTATTGTCAAAGATGCCCGATTTCCAGCTCTTGCATCTACATATTGGCGGTGAACATATGGTGTAGATTTACTTAAATGGCTGCTACTCACTTTTCTCTAACTGCATGAAACATTTGGCCAGCGAAGGCACGCTCTGCTGAGGCACACTGAACACCAGTCGATCGGCGAAGCTTTCCTGCAAAGTGGCGTCCATAAACAAATTAGAGACGAATTCTTTTAACGCGCTGTGGCGATCCCTGCAGTCTGAGGTTGGTGTTGAATCTCCACCCCGTAACTTCATCTCCAGGGTGTAGCCAGCGCCGTATAGGTTTTTCAGGTGTTGGGTCGAGCCCAGACATCTGAAAACGAACGAACATTTGTGTCATTCCCTCATAAGTATTTCTTCGGATCAAGGATCCGGGTATAAGAATAATGATTTATCGAAATCCTAGTGATGTCTTGTTTGAACTACTGTAGCATCCTTTATTTCCCATGCCTTGACAAAATAATGAAAAATAGAATTCAAATTATACAGAATAATTGTGTCCGTTTTATATGTGGATTGAGAAAATTTGACCATGTATCACAGAAATACAGGACGCTGAAATGGCTCAAATTTGATAAATTGGTCGAATATCACCATCTAGTATTTATTCACAAAGTAATAACCACTTCAAAGCCCGCCTACTTGAGAGAAAAAATTCTATTTAACTTTGTTGTTCATGATCGGTTGCTTAGAGATAGGTTGAGTATCAGAATTCCGCCTCACTCTACAGTCTTATTCACCCGCAGTTTTTGTTATAATTCGGCAGTTCTATATAATTCGTTGGAATATTCCTTTAAATGTATGAGCTTAGCAAGTTTTCGTAAGCATGTAAGGATCAGGCTGCTTGACTGATACTATCCTTTCCACATTCATCATCCAATCAGACTTTATATTTATTACGTTGAGAAGCTAATATTATTTTTAGGCGCATGATATATATTTATTTATTTATTTAGATTCAATACACTGCCTGAACGGAACACTCCATTGAACAGGCAGGAAGTACAGCATGCTCAGCCGACAGTTAGAAAATACCTTCGAAGGCTGTCTTTACTGTAGTGAAAGATATCAAGTGCACGTGCACTTTCACAAATGCCACACATAACATAGAGTGGTGAAAACAACAAGTTTGTTCTAGGAACAGGTAAATAGAATAAACTGTTGCTACCATGACGAGTACGCAAATTAGGTATGCGTAAATAAATTTTCCCTAAGAGTGAAGGACAATCAATGCTGCCATCGAGCAATTTACACAAAAAGGTAGCAGCGAATAAATGTCTGCGCTTCGTTAAATTTGGCAGATTGAATCGGCTTAATAATATGTCATTACGAAAGCCCCTTTCAGGATAAACTCTATCTTCTTTATACCACAAATACTTCACGAAACGTCGCTGAACTCTCTCAAGATTATGGGAATGTACATCGTAAGCCGGGTACAAAATAATAGAACAATATTCGAGAATAGATCTAACAAAAGCATAATATAGTAAGATTAAAGTTTTAGGATTATGAAATTGTCAGCTGTTTCTGATAACAAAACCAAGATTTTTGTACGCTTTTGCTACAATAGTATTTATCTGCTCGATAAATGTCATTCTGGGGTCAAACAAAACACCTAAATCTTTGAACGAAAAAACTCTCAGGAGCGAGCTGTTTCCAATCTCAAAGACAGATTCTATCGGTTCCAACTTGCATGTTAGCGTCATAGTGCAACATTTATCAACATTCAAATGCATATTATTAACTTCACACCAGTGATGTACAAGGTTCAGATCTGCTTGCAATGCTAAACTATCATCTAAGGTATTAACACATCTAAAAATCTTGAGGTCGTCAGCATACAGCAAATACTCACACCGCAAGTCACTTACTATGTCGTTAATGAATATAAGAAACAACAAAGGGCCAAGGACTGAACCCTGGGGTACGCCTGACGTAGCCAACACCGGATATGATTTGTAACCACGATAATCTACACGTAAATGTCTGTTATTAATGTATGACTGGAAAAAATCAAGAAATCTAGACGTTAAACCAATTTTTGACAACTTCTGTATCAAAATACCGTGATCTAAACGGTCGAAAGCTTTTGAAAAATCGGTATAGAGTACATCAACCTGCCCTCCTTTGTCCAAAACCTCCGCAGCGTATTGCTTGAAACATGCTAAATTACTACATGTTGATCTACCTTTATAAAAACCATGTTGACCAGTACAGATGGTACGACTTACATGAGAAAACACGACCTCAAAAAGTACAAACTCAAAAACTTTCGCCAAATTGCTCAAGATAACAATCGCTCTATAGTTCTCAATATGTGACCTATCGCCTTTCTTAAAAACTGGAGTAATTTTCGACATTTTCCATTTGTCAGGAAAGGTTGCAGTTTTTAAAGACAAATTAAAAAGGTATGCTAATGGCTGAGCAAGTACTGATAAATATTCCGAGGAGGAAATATAAGTAGATTGGAAATATGCTGCAAAGGCGTTCACTATTTGCTCAGGATTTTTCAACTCAGTATTTTCAGAAAACATGTTGCTAGTAATATTGGCGAAATTTTTGCGATGATTTACGAAGGACCAAAAGTTATTAGGGTTGTGAGCCAAAGCGCGCTCGGTTCTTTCAACAAAATTTGAATAAGCCATGTCAATATCGATTTTTATTGTTCTTCGTAAACTGCTAAATAATTCATAATCTGACAAATTACTTGTTCGCTTGTATCGTTTCCAGAGACGATGCTTTTTTCCGATTTTTGAGATAATAGAGCGAGAAAACCATGGAGGATATTTGTTATCTTTCGGCAATGTGTAAGGAACATGTCTATCAAATGCAACATACAATCGTTTATAAAAAAGATCGCAGGCAATATTAATATCCGTAATATGTAACGGGAGAGTTAAATCTAAATTCATGATGCTATTATAAAGAGCCGGGATGTTTGCTTTTTTAAAAGTATACTGCGGAATACTGTTTGTATGGAAATTTCTCATGCGATATATGTATAGTTGGACCAGCGAAAGATTGCAAGCCGAAAGAATGCGGACAAAAAATTGCGAAGTTGTCAGATGTTCTACATAAAATGCGGTCCATACATATTAACATATTTAAGATATAGAATTGTTCCGCTGAATTTGGCAATGTAGCTGGAAAACCCAGGCCGCAGGTAAACATCCGGTCGCTGATTGGTCCAAAACTCTTATCTTATCTGAAACTAGAATAACGTGCCGATGGCACGGTCATTTATAAACCTACTCCCATAGGCGTAGGCAGTTGGCAAATACTTTGAAAATATAATTTACTGTTTAGTGGTGATAATGGAATTCAAGCATGGGAAAGTTATTCACAGCCAGGCAAGGGAAATAATAGCAAACGTGATACGTGCTTGCGATGCAGAAGCGGCTAACAATACTTTCGTTTATCCACTGGTAGCTAGAAATGCAAGGGCGGCATATTATACGGGTGTTAGTGAACGAACTATAAGTAAAATTAGAAAAGAAGATAAAGACAGGCAAAATGCAACCTCCACACAGCCTTTAGCTTCTCCCGGAAAAAAGAGATCACGCCCTTCTGTGATCCAAAAAATTGATGGAGTCGATTTTTCCATTATTCGGAGAATGATAGAAAAATTTTACTGTGATTTTAAAGTGGTACCTACTTGTAGTAAACTTCTAATCAAACTGAAGGAAGAAATGGAATTTCCATTTGGTAAAGAATCGTTGAGGCTGCTTTTAAAAGCAAAAGGATTTTACTGGCGTAAATGCCACAACAAAAGGAAATTACTAATGGAAAGACCCAGTATTTTACATTGGCGATACAAGTATATTAGGTCTATTAAAAAGTTCCGGGAAGAAGGAAGGCATATTATTTATTTGGACGAAACTTGGGTTGATAATGACCTCACTTTCAAGAAATGCTGGCAAAGCGAAGAAATTATGGGTGTCCTGAGCAATATAAGTTCTACAGGTAATAAAGTTTCTTTCACCTCGATTTTGCTTATTATACATTTTTCTCAATTTTGGAATATTCTTAATAAGTGCTCATTTAATTTGTCTAATTGAATACATAATCCCTTGCAAGTATTTTTTTCTCAAAAATATGTTTTTTATACATAGTGATTCAAAAAGGTGTTGGCAAACTTAAAATAACACTAAAATGAGGCTATTTATTCATTTCCAGGACGACTTATAATTGTTCATGCGGGTTCGCAAGATGGTTTTGTTCCTGGAGCCTGTCTCATTTTCAAGGCTGGCTGTGCCACTGGTGATTATCACGGTCAAATGAACCAAGAAAATTTCACGAAGTGGCTTACTGAAAAACTATTTCCTAACATTCCTCCTAATAGTATTATAATAATGGATAATGCACCTTACCATTCAGCTTTGGAAGACAAGCCTCCAACTAGATCTTCTCTAAAAAGAGACATCATCACGTGGTTGAGCAAAAAAGGTATAGAGCATGATCCTAATGCTAAAAAAATGGAGCTTTATGAAATAGCTTGTCTACATAGGCCACCATCTGATGAGAAAAATTATAAGATAGATAATTTAATAAGAAGTTTCGGACACACCCCACTTCGAACGCCACCCTATATGTGTCAGTTTAATCCCATAGAGATGATTTGGGCACAAGTAAAATTTTTCATTAGAAGCCATAATACAAGCGGCGAATTTACTATAAAAAAACTAGATGAAATTTCTAATAAGGCCATCGCTTCAGTAAGTGCCAGTGACTGGCAAAAGGTTATTGGACATGTTATAAAAATTGAAGATGAATATTGGGAAAAAGACAGTCTCATTCAAGAAATACAGGAAGAAATAATAATCAACATAGGAGGTGAAAGTGATAGCAATGACAGTTCCTCAGACAGTGATCATGACTCTAATCAGGATTGAAACTATACTAGATTGGCTACCTTTTAGAATTTTTAGATATTCATTTATTATACTATTGGTTTGTGGCTTTTAGTATCTCAGTAGAAAGTCTAATTCTATGTGTTGTTTATGGGTTATTTCATCAAGAAATTACTTTTTGTTTTCCTATATTTTTCTATTCAGTCAGATATTTTTGACTTGTTGTATTCTATTTTAGAAGAATGCATAATTTGTTTTGCTGTTCAATCATAATGCGTACATAGGAATATTACTTGTTGCCTAAAAAATATATTTATTTTGTTCTCAATATTCAGTGTTTGTGTATATTTATTTCTTATAATGTATGTTTGGTATCACGTCATTATGAATCGCAAAAAAATATTAATACTACCAGTTGTAATAAAATATAAATTCAATTAATAATTCAAGTCTCTCCGATCTCCGCCTATGACTCCATATAAAATCGTCTAATGGTAAGGTTTTTTCATCGCATTTCCCCCTTTCGTCCCTAGCAATCTTTGGCTGGTCGATCAATATATATGGGTATGTGTATATGTGTGTATATATATATATATATATATATATATGATTTTAATTTATTTAACATCACTGTATTTATTGATTCAGCTGGTTAAGTGTAAGAGTAGCATTGCTAAACTTCGCCAGTTGAGTCCCACTTTCAGTATGTACCATGTACATATTTTTTTTGTAATAAAGGCGTATATTATTATTAATATTATTATTATTATTAAATGTTGGCCCGACTTGTATACAAACCTCAACTCGCCTTTCACCATGATACCGACTCTTGAACATAAAGCATCTGCTTCCTCCATGGAATGTGTGGTAAGAATCGCTCCTCTTGAACCCTGTAACAAAGCATTTTGTTACTTCTTTCGGACGCTTGACATCTGAATGAACATTGTTTATCAAATGCTTTTAGTCTCAGCTTTATTACTGGAACCACTATTATGGATACACCCACGTGGCTAAACTTCACATATTTGTATTTTAAAAATAATGTCCAATTTTTACTATAATGAGAGGCAAAAAAAGGTAAACAGTAAAATGATTAAATTTTCAGCTAGATTCGTCAACTGACTGCAGAAGCTGGTTCAATAATGTGTTGAGGATCCATGATTTCTTATACACTCATTGACACGCCTCGGCATCGTGCTGATAAGGTGGTCGATATCCTGTTGGGGTTTTTCATTCCAGGCTACTGAGCCTGCAACCTATGATGACCCAGACATGTTCAATTGGAGATAGGTCAGGCGATCGTGGTGGCCAACGTAAACGGTTCGTGCGATGTTGATCCATGAAGGCTAACGATGCTCTTGAAACATGCCGGTTTTGGATGATGTTTAGGTATGGAATAAGATGAGGCTCCACTGCTTCCTGAATATAGCGTCGGGCTGTTATACAGGGTCCGCCAAAGGAACCTGATGAGTTTCAATATGAAACTACAAATGTATCTTTCAAGATATTTATTTTCATATATAAGTAATCGAAAGTGTATTACATGGCATTTTATGTATGGAAAATAACTTCGGTCAAATGATGTCCTTCACTGCGGACACACTCTTCCAAACGGTTTCGCACATTCCACATTACGCGCTGTACCATACTCATCGGAATCGCGCTAATTTCATTGTGAATGTTTTCCTTCAATTCTTCAATGGTCCTTGGGCTCGTTAAATATACCTCGCTTTTGAGATAACCCCATAACCAATAGTCACAAGCCGTGAGATCGGGAGACCTTGCCGGCCAAGGAACATCTCCATTCCGCGAAATGACTCTTCCTGGAAACATTTCTCGCAGTCGAACCATTGTTGCTCGTGCTGTAGGCGCTGTGGAGCCATCTTGCTGAAACCATACAGTATTTAAATCTATGTTCCGTCGACGAAGCTCTGGTTCCAAAAATGTGTTTAACATTTCCAGATAACGTTGCGAATTGACCGTGACTGAATTTCCAGCATCGTCCTCAAAAAATAGGGTCCAATTATGCCGAATCGCGACACTCCGCACCAAACAGTAACCTTGCGACTATGAAGGGGTCGCTGGTGAAGTTATCTCGGGTTTTCTGCACACCAGTAGCGAAAATTCTGCTTATTTACGTAGCCTGATAACTCGAAATGCGCCTCATCAGACATAATTAAGCCACCTAAAGCGTTTTCATCCAAAAGTTCCAGAAGCTGGTTGCTTGCAGTCAAACGGTTCTCAAAGTCTTTAGCTGCCAGTTCTTGAACCATCGCTAATTTGTAAGGGTGATAATGTAAATCCTTATGCAAAATACGCCGCACTGTTGTTTCTGAAAGCCTTAGACTACTTGCTTGTAGCCCAGCTGAACGACGTGGACTTTGCTGCACCGCTGTTCGCACCCTCTCAATATTGGCTGGAGTCCGAACTGTTCGACGCATTCCTGGTGGCTTAGCTTTCATTGCTGATGCAGATCGACGAAAATTTTTGACCCACAACTTAATTGTGTTACGGCATGGAACAGAACCATGACGTCCGACATTGAAATGTGTACGAAATAGACGCTGTGTAATGATCACCGAGTCGTGATTTTTAAAATACATCTCGACAACAAATGCGCGATGTTCACTTGTCCACAGCTCCATGACTACTGAAATGGCATCTACTATCGATGTCTTGCCCACTGTAACCGATGTTCTACGTCAAAAAACAGCTTCGTACTATCCATTCTGAAAACGTCAGGTTCCTTTGGCGGACCCTGTATAGCCTCTGATGAAAATTAGTGGTGATCTGCAACCATAAGCAATAGCACCCCATGCCATAACTCCCACAGTGTGGTGAACGTGACGCTCTCTGTCAAATTCTGGGTCACGTCTTTCACCACGTCTCCTTCTCACTCTTGACCGACCATCGTGCATCTCCAGACAAGCGGGATTCGTCACTAAAGACCACCTGATACCATTCCCGGTCTCATAGAATACTTTCTCTATACCAGAGCAAACTGTTCAGCTGTGAGAGTAGCACCCAAACTCCTAGAAACTTCTCTTATCGATAGACCGGCTTCACGCAACCTCTTAAAGTCTCTTAGCTATCACTAGGAATTTTGAGCAATCACAAAAAGGCTTCTCAGTAACCTACACGAAATTTAACATTTAACTGACACCGTAAATGTACGAAAGCTGAATGCTTCTCTATCACCAAACAATAAAAAAACCTGACCATTATATCACTTGTTGTTCATGGCAAGATAAATCGATATGTAAAAAAGTCTTGAATTCTAATAAACTTACGTAGGCGTTTACCTTTTTTTGTCACTCAGTATATTATAATTAATACGTTACACAAGCTTAATCCGGTGGGTTCATAAATAACATTACCTCAAAAACTGATGTTTTGTATCTATGAAAGACTTCCACTATTAGAAGAAACACGGAAAATTTAATAAAATGCTGAAAAAAAAAGAAAAATTGTCATACCTGAAAACTGGCTAATATCGTGTCCCATAGGAATCTTTTACTCCTAGGGTCCATTCCAGTACTGGGCTCGTCTAACAATACAACTTTGGGATTCCCTACCATCGCCATAGCGAAGCTAAGTTTCCTTCTTGTTCCTCCAGAACATTGTGATGCTCTTTTATCAGCGTGCTCCTGAAAAAAAATTACAACTTTCCGTCTTCCAAGAGAAAATTGCATATGGACATTGTAATCTAAATCACCTCTCGTTAGGATTTAGGAATCCTAGGGAGAGCGTGTACAATCTGGTAGTGGTTATTAAAAACCATTTTATTGTTTCCAAAGGTTGATTACTGCAACTATACGTTAAATTTTGGTTGATTTTTAAGGCACTGCACAATAGAAATTCTTGCTTATAACCAGCCCATTATATAGAGGCAAAAATTTAGAAACTTACAAAGCCAAATAACTGTTTTAAGATAGGCAGTTGCAACGCACGCACGCAGAAATACAAGCGCACTTACTGCTGGGGTAAAAAAAAATCCGACTACGGTGAGGCATTATGAGATGAGGATCCCTTAATGAAGTTAATACTAATATAAGATAGCTTATATGTATTTGAGAGGAGCATGGCAACGAGTAGTTTCCTCTCTCGGCACACACAAAAACGGAAACTAAGCAGCGCAGCGGGTTCATAGAGGAGTGTCTCCACCTCCCAAATCACGGACGCAACCCTCTGCTGGAAAATTGATGGCGACAGATTTTTGGGACATCAGGGCATCTTTATTGAATATATGTCTATGCGGACACGCTGAAAAGTTTACGTAAAGCAATCGATCAGAAAAGACCCGATGTTTCCAATCGAGAAGTGACATGACAATGCGACAGTAAAAAGGCTGCCCAAATTAGACCAATTGTGCAGGAATGCATCTTCGTTGAGATAGACAATCTATAGTCCAGATCTGACTCCATCTGACTTTTATTTCTTTGGATTACTAAAGAAAAATCTTCTATGACGCAGTTCTAAGTGAGATCATGGCCTAAAAGCAGCCGTTGACGACTTTTTTCAGAGTTAAGAGGAAACTTTTTTTTTACGTTCACTGGAGGAGAAATGGCTTATACTGAAAAATAAAATTATCGTACGTATTTCTTTAGATTTCTTTTCTAGTGTCCTTCGTATTTTATGTCAACAAACCTGTATTTGGAGGCCGCTCAGGTACATGTTGACCAGCTTAGGTATTTGGTCGTAAGGCACACCTCGGATGGAGGCGTAACACTCCAGATGCTCACGCACTGTGATGTTTTTCCACAGCGCGTCATGCTGTGGGCAGTATCCTAGCAGACGGTATGCGGAGTTCATGTTAGAGGTTATATTTTCGCCGCCGATTTGCACCTACAAGAAAATGGAACTAATGAGAAATAATTCCTAATTGTAATAATCGAAGAAAATTTTAACCAATACATAGGACTTCAATTCGATGAAAGCATCTTTGGTATCATTAATTTTCATAATACACTTATAAGAATATCCTAAAAGCATCTTTTAACGTAGATACAGATTAAAAAAAGATACCACTGGAAATCGGTTTACTAGTAATTTCCAATGATCAATTCTGTTTAGAAAAAAAAAATGGAAATGAAGACGCGCAGATATTGTTTAAATTTTTTTGCAACAAAACTTTTTAAATAATGTTTCATTAATAATGTCTTGTAAGTGCTGCATTGATTTAGATTATCACAAATTTTCATACAAAAACGCTAGCTCCATCAAGAAATTTCAGTTCAATTCAACTCGATGACTTTTAATAAAACAATGGACTAAATCAAACAACTCACCCTGCCTCTTGTAGGAGCCTCCTCAGCGGTAATGATCTTCATGGTGGTGGTTTTACCAGCACCATTGTGACCCAGAAGTCCGAATACTTCACCAGCATCGACGGCTAATGATAAGGATTTGATAGCTACCTTCAATTCGACTTCTGTTTCGGATTTACAACATATATCACAGACTTTCGTTTCTTCTCTTAGATATTCTTTATGCAATTTCTAGAAGATACGAGGTTATTATTACACTATACACTGGCAGCTAATATATGATAAGTATTGGAAACATGCACATCCATGTTTTTGAAGGTGGTTTAATAGTCGTGTATTCATAAACCAAGCTAAGTAGCCAAAAATCGACCCTGAATCAGAAAAAAACTGTAATAACTGGTTCTACAACGGAATCATACTCTTGAGGGTAAATAAAAAGGTCGCTGAGAATATTTTGCTGGGTACTAAAACAAAAGTTATTCTCAAAATAGTCTAATTATAATAGCACATTTCCCCGAAATATTTGCAAAGTGTGGTTGTATTGATGCAATTTGTTCAAGGGGGTATATAAATCATGGACGCATAAAATGGGTACACCAATTTTTGTGGGAAAACTTTTTATTCGACAACAAAGAATGCGAAAACGTGTTTTTTGGGATTCAATTGCAGGAACGAATAAACTCTTGAAATACATTTTTTAGGTATTTATGAGACCTACAGATTGAGACTGCATGTAAAAAGATCGGACTAACAGTAAAAAAGTTATGGCTAAAAACTGAGGCAAAATGCAGGTTTTGACAATTGAAGGGTCGGCCGGAACAACGTTGTATGTATCAAAAAAGCTCAGTGGCCGAAATTATGAAAAACAAATTTGAACCATTTTTTTCAAATGACTGCGTCTATAGTTGGCCAGCACAATAAAGGAACAATAGTTATACAAGGTTATTGTAATTTAAAAATGTGACACCTATTTTGCAGCAATGGGAACCATTTTTATGGAAAACGCATGTAACAAGGTTGTATGATCACCTTACATACAACGTGGTTACAGGGAAGCTTTAAATGACTATAAGCAAAACAAGTATTTTCAGCAGTTCTATTTATTAAGGGAACCAAAGAACACAGTAACATATTTTTAATAACAAAAAAATACGTTCTAAGTTCATCAACGTGTTTCGAAACTAAAACTGAAACTTAAATAAATATTACTGGGTTGCAGTTAATTTCTCATAAAATGTTACATACTTAAGCGGAATATAATCACTCATATCCTCAAGGTTTTTTAATGTTTCATCTTTGATTGGAAGAAGGTTGTGATACATTATAGGTAATTTTTCAGATGATATGATATCAGTGGCAAAAGTCATCGTTTCTTTTCTTTTACGATTGTTTATGGGAAGTAAATTCCAGGGCTGCATAATATTATGAGATTTTCTCATTCTCAAAGTAGCTGGAGAATCATCGGTAAGTTGCAGCCACAATCCTTGTGTAATTTTACATTTGGGGTATTTCCATATACAATATTCCAAAGCTGTTAAATTCTCAAAGAAGGCTTGGTGCATCCAGACAACTTTAAAAGAATTTTTAACTTTGGCTTTAGCAATGACATCGACCCACTGGAATGGTTGATAAACCATAGATATTGTTCTTTGTTTACGTACATACAACGTGGTTACGCGGAGGACTGAAATGGTGCGATTTACAAATTCACGTCACAGTGATTGATGCGAGTAAACAGGTGTGTCTATGTTGTCAACGCATCCCAATAGGCACATACTACGTTGTTTTACGTAAATCTCATTTTATAGAAAAATGTTATATACAACGTTGTTCCGGCCGACCCTTCGATTGTTGCTAATGTGACGATAATTTCACGCAGCTACTTGAAATTCTACAAATTCGTAGACTTCATATTTCTTCAAGTTGTTTTTGAGAATCTCTAATTGTTTACCCCAAAACACCTGTCTTCCGGCCATTAATACTACTTTACTGAGCAATATACAGGGTACAGCCCAAAAGGCATTTTATAGCGAAATACACGAGTTTACCTTGCCGACATGAATCACAAACCATTCCGAAAGATAATTGTTATTTTTATGTTCTAACAATTTGAAAAAATTAGTATTTGTGAGTAATTGAACAGATTCGTTACGATATTCTAAAAACATTATTATACTCACTTTAAAACAAAGCAGATGTGACTCTCACCTTTTGTTGCCAAGAAAATTTTTTCATATTTTTGTGTATACATATTTAGAGCTGAAAATTTTATACGGTCACAGATGAGCCTTAAAGTTTATAAAACAAATATTTCATACTGAAATGCGCTGAGCTGTTTATAAACTTAGCACGCAAACTAAAGGCACAATTACGTTTCAAACTGTCTTAGACTAGTTAGTATGTAGCATGTGCTAAATTCTAACAATATTGATGACTGTATGAGTTTGTCAAAGAAGTAGGTCACGTAATCCAGTATCTTTACGGAGAAATATAATTTCCTGGACATTTTTTCTAAATGTATTAATATAGTATACGTCTGTTTTCGAAATCTCACACAATTAAAACGACTTCGAGGTCAAAATGTTGGAAGATAAACTCGAGAGAACGAAAAAATAGTAGACAATAATATCGGCCAATTGCAGCGAAAAATTAGGCAAAATGCTCGGTATTAGTCCCTGATACATTATATAAAGTTTTAGCATTGTATCTTGTATAGTTTTCCAGAATATTCTAATTGTTTATAACAGATTTGATATGCCTCCAACCTTTGATTGACATTTGTCAGTGTGAAGTATAGTAGTATAAAGATCCCATAAACCAAGAAGCGTTGTAGTGTAATAGGCAGATATAACGATTGCAGAACACAAATACCCCCTTGAACAACTTGTATTAATAAAAGCAGACTCTACAATTATTTCACAAATCATGGGTATTTTCGTCTAATATGACTAGATAAAACCTCTAGGTTATCGCATAGTTATTTAACTTTTAGAGCTCTACGCGGAATATTACAGGATCTAGTTTCGCAAGAAAAAAGGAATGTCTGCCTAAAATTCAAATTTTGTCTAACCTCAAATTCCCTATTTTAATTGTAGTTATTAAAGGAACTCTCTCTTGCACACTGTCTCATTGGAGAATCATTGATAGCCATGCCAGAACCTGTATTGACAAATATCAAAGAAAATCGAGTTCATCTTTTCCAAAGAATGCAACACTTCTGAAAGGGATGGGCGAGCAGCGGGAGTGCTTATCATAATATCGCTGTGGCCAGTGATTCTACCTGGAGGCGACAATAGAAAAATGCTGGACTGGCCGGCTGAAGATGTTTTTGCCGGATATGTTCCGAAAACAGTGGGCAAAGCACACGATTTAATAGAGCATCTTGTACTTGTGCTGCCACTATGCGGATTTGGTTTTCAAGATGTGTTAATAATTGCCCTCAATGGTAACCATAATAGAGACAGAAAGTTTCCCACCTAAATGTTATTTGATGGTATGCATATACGCTATAAAAAAGGTGTCCCGATTTTGACTCAAGAACATGCAGGGCCTGGAATCAAAGTACAATTTTACGATTTTACCGAATTTAAAAGTGCCAAGGGAAATGTTATCTTTTCATGTGCTGGATTTTTAAATTATTTGCCATGTAATTAAATTATTCAATAAATCGTTATTGTTTACTAATGGTACACTTGAGTATGACTTGAGGGATCCTCACCACTCAACTTACACTCAACTGTGAAATGGCGACTATAAATATGGGTCACAATACTCTAAATACTCACATCTACCATAACAACAGGAGGATTGACTGAATGACAATTCATGAGACTTTTTACTTTCAGCCTCTCTGCCTTCACGTCTTGATCTTCGTTGTCTCCTATGTCACTAACCTCGTTAAAATCTTCTTCGTTAATTTTATATTTATCTTCCGTATTTACCTGCAAATTCAAAAAATGCTCCTATTAGTTTTATTAAGCGGCTATTATCACTTAGATATATTTGGTCTCATAATATAATCACAATTGTTCAAGATTTTTAAAAAATGAGTTTTAGTGCCAGACTGCATCGTGGATTTTGTAAGTAGGTATACATTATTACCAGAAATTAGTTACAGGAAAAACCAGGACGCGTGTGCTGATTTCTGACAGTTAATCCATATGCTTCGAGAAACATTTTGAGGTTGACAACAGGAAAGCATGCAGTAGAAATCTACAGAGAGTCCTGGCACTGAAGGTAATTCAATAAACAATTTCAATCAACACAATTTCACTTCCCAAAGTTCAATTCATATTTCAGAAGAGCACTAATGTTAAATAGATCATGCATAGTAGCTTTGAAGGATTAAAAAATCAGACTACTCACACTGGTTAACTTGAGTGCATCCCTGACTCTCCCACCGTTTTTCTTGATGTCTACAACACGTATGATGAAAAACCAGAAAGGGATGTGCAGTAATATTCCTACGAACATAACTACAACTTCTGTAGTCATATAGTCAACCAACGTTGGTTCTACACAAGCATAACTGTTGTTGCACATTATATACACCCTTTGTATATAATAAATCATGGCATAAGATAAATACATAGTATTTGTCATGGAGAAAAATATGTGTAAGATGAGAGCAACTTTTTCACCTAAAAAAAAAACAGATGCTTCAGATACAGTCGAGTGAGATCTGACAATAAGAGTACAACATCCAAAAGTTTGAAATAACATCCGAGGCCTTCGACAACCCTTATCTGAGAACTCTCAAGATGAAATATCCCATTATGTCACGTTTAAGAGCATCGATACATAATAATGATATTTCTGGTAAAGTAATAGCTATGATACTCAGACTTGTATGAAAGGGGCGCTATACTAAGCACAATCATTTCGAGACATGTTTGACATTTAACGTAATGGAGCATTTCAATGTAAAGGTTGTCAGCAATGGTGGACTAGTTCAATCTTGCCGGACGCAAAGCAGTCGGGCGATTGTTGACATTGATTATTTTCGGAGTTTCCAAAAAAGATCCCATAGAAGACTTATGGCTTTCGGATAATTAAAAAAATGGTATGTTGTAGAACAAAAGTGACTATGTGCAAAGAGTGTCTACAAGTAGTTTACGAGAAATAGGACCTAAAATTTGGGCTGTCTGTACACTATTACAGGGTATTGTGAGCACAATATGACTGTAATAACTGATATGTACGGTCTTATCGTCATCTGTATTGGTCAGATTGGACTAAGTCTATTATGTAAAAAATGATCCGAAAACAACATTACTTACAGCTAACCTATTTTTAAGTTATATGACTTCTTACCTATCCTCATCATGTCAAGAAACATCACAATGAAAAACGGTATACACCCAACAAAGGTGGCGATGTTTGGTAAAATGGACTGTGCCGAATCAGTTTTATCGAACATATAGCTAAAGCAGGTGCTGAAGAGTATCGAAGAGGGGCAGTAGAAAAAGACCAAGATGCCTAATGTGGTCAACGCCGCCCATCCACTAAGCGATGGAATTTTGAACAGCAGGATGATGATGATAAGGACGGTACAAATCAGTACCATGATCGTCATCAACACGAAAAGGTACGTCGTGAAGTACATCCCGAAAGACAGACCGTTCACGCGCAACTGATTTTTTGCTCGAATCTGAAAAGAAAGAATATACTACTTAGAGATAAAAAGATACAAACAGAAAACAACAATATTGTATTATCATCAAGTTTGAGAAAAAACCTGGCAAAATGGAGAAAAAATGCAACTGACACTTTAGCCATAATATGTTCGTCATAACTTACAGATGTTTACATTTGAAAAGTGTTTGTATAAAGGAAAGCTTTTACGCCCCAAATCCTTTACCAGGTTGCCAATTATATCCTCCTCCATACAGAAATCCGATACTAGCGCCCTTGCGGCCATCGCACAGTGACAATAGTTGAATTATCTAATGTGTATAAAAACAAGTATACAGAGAAATCCAAATATCACTGAGGAGGTAATGTGTACGAGAAGCGCGATAAGCTGGCAATACGTATGTTACAAAGAGTGCGCCGATGGCCGTGGCCTCGTCACTCGGGTTGCTATGCAACGCGGTGCTTCTATCTCTTTCTAACATACGTACTGCCTGCTTCTCGAACACATCACGCGACAGTGGCATATGGATTTCTCTGTATAAAATATGACAATAAAAACGTAAAGACATAGGCTTTCATGTTCGAAAAGCTTACCTCTCTGTCATACACCATATCAATAGCTAAACTGACAGGTGTTAGAGCGAATATCATTCCCAGAGTGAAAGTTGCAGTCACGGTTCCAAAGTTGATACCTTCTGGTTGAGATGTTTGTTGAAATGGTTGAGCCCGCAACTCTATCGGTTGCCAGCTTTTTATTTCAATCTGGTTTGTACTGAGAAGCCTATAAATGGGGAATGTTTTTGATAGATATACGAAGATGAGCAAGAGAAATATTACTTGCAAGGCAGATAAATAAAATATTTTGTCATTGTACTGAAGAAGAGCATCCTAGTGATTGCAAAGTTTACAATCTCTAGGAATATTTAAAATGACAAGATTTGGATATGAGGACTAATTCAAACGACAATTGAATCCAGCGAAAGCGTTTGGTAGAAGAATTCTGACAACCTTTCTGCTACAAAAGTCGTGAAGATTTTAAATTAATGTATGAAAATTCTATATATCTTAGTAATGTTAAGAGATTAGGTTCAGTTCCATAACACTGCCCCAAAAAAATGTATTCTGCTTGGGAGTCAAGTGTATTTATGAGGGAAAACTAAGTTCCCTATTAACAGGTGTTTTTGGTATTCATTGGTAGAGGTGAGTCAAAGTTATGCCATAAAGTCTACCTTCAAACTCGAACTATACACATTTAGGGCAGGCTGTCTTTTCTATTAATAAATTACGATATACTCTGTCTGAACCGCGAGTATATGTAAATATTAGGATAGTTGAAATGTGATGGGAGCTGGGTCTATTATTAAATAAATAATAAATATAAAAACTGTGAGAGTTCATTTTCAACATCGACTACTTTCTGGAAATGGAGGACAGTAAGAGTTGCCTGAGTATTACTTCTATTGATACATTTTTTAGCACAATAACTTACCTATAAAGGGCGTTGTTCACCAAGTTGATAACAATTGGCAAACTATGCTGTTGTGTGTCATTATACAACACAGTTATACTATAATCTGGAAATTCAAAGTTATTCACATTTAGTGCCGCTGTATGGGGCGCTATCTGTAATAACCTTGAAAAATTCCCATCATAGTCGTCGATGAAAGTCACCCCAAGATCTAAAAGCTGCTCATACAATTCATCTAGATTGTTATTCGATGCATTATGGATAGCCAGTGAAACATTTCCGTACAAGGTGACGTTGAGAGGTAGGGACTGCGTTTTGGTCTCGATGTTCTGTATACTGTTTATGTATAGTCCTAATGCGGCTAGACCTAATGGCACCAATATCATGAAGTATAACTTCTGCCAGTCACGAAATAGACGAAGGATCCTGAGCCTAAGTAGCGCTATGATTGTTTGGAAGCAGTTTGGCTTGCATTCGATTTTCTCTAAACCGATGCCTGTTACAGGGGATTTTGTTTCGCTTATTATTTCCAGGCCATCAATCTTCGTCGTCGGCGCGTCACCTGAAAAATGGGAAACAATATCACTATATGTGTTAAATTTTATGCTGCCTTCAATTCGTTGCGTCTTCTACTTTTGGGGAAGAATTATAGTAATAAGTTAATGATTTTATTAACTACAAGATATACCTTGTAAAATAAAAATACATATACTAAAAAAAACAGCTTGTTGCTAATATGCAGAGTTTCGGACAGACATATAGGATGGCTCCTTCTAATCTATTCGAATTCGTTGATGCAGAGTATATGTTTAGACGTAAGTGCCTTACACACTATCACTGTATAAAAAACGCATGTATGGGAGGCTGATGCTTTGATTACAACATTGCTCAACTGCGCAGTTCAAAGTAGAACAACCTGACACTTCCTTAACAGACCATGACTAGGATTGAGATTTTTTGAAGTGTCACATACCTTTGGCATCTTGCATGATGTCGTTATTCTGCTCATTTTGTAATGATTGATAACTAGTGCTTTTGCTTTGCAAGCTAAGACTCCGACTCAAGGCTCTGTTTCTCACTATCTTTTTCGACAGATTATCTACGGTGCAGTCAGTTTCTTCATCTTCCCGTTCCAAATGCAAAAACACTTCTTCCAAAGTCGTCATAGAAACTCCATAACTAGAGATCCCTGAAAAATAGCCGTTATAGTCAATACTGCAAAATTTTACTCGCGGTGTTCCTCGAAGACACTTACCTAATTTACTATTTTTATTATTAATCTCCTGCTCTATCGCAGAAAACAAATTGGGAAAATTCTCGACAGCATTATGAGGTAAAATAAAACTCAATTCCCTTCCGTGCCTCCTTGCCTTTTCAGCTTTAGGAACATGTGTCGTGACTAATCTAGTGATAGCCTGCTCTTTGGAAACTCCTTTCAACACCAAGGTTAGATGGTAACCAATTCCGAATTTGTTCTTAAGGAACAAAGAGCTACCACAGCACCTTATGCTGCCTTTAGATACCACTGCTTTTCTATCCGCTAAAAAATCAATTTTCTCTTAGTAGGACAGTAGTTTTCCAAACTGTAATGGTGATAGTATGCTGCTATATAATTTAAATATTTTAACTTCAAAGCTGAACACCGAAGTCAATTGCACATGCAAGCAGACATAACAGGATCATTATGGAAATTCGCTAACCCAAAATATCAGCTTCATCCATAAAATGGGTCGTCAACAAGATAACTCTTCCATGCCTCCTGTTTTGAAGCACTGACCACATATGCCTTCTCGAGTACGGATCAACCCCAGCTGTCGGTTCGTCTAATATGATGATCTAAAAGTGCAACAAAACCTCCTCAATGACTGCGTAAGTCAATATCTGCGACTTCAGAAAAATCCATGGGACCAAGTCCAATAAGAGTCATATTAATAAATGTTTCTTGAGGATCTAGTGGCTTTTGAGAACTGATTACTCCTTGTATTTTATTTCACAATAGGCTGTCATTAATCTCAAACAGATTTTTACTGGCGGTATATACATATTAAGCATTTTGATGATAAATTTTGGTTTGGTTTTTGTAGTGCTGAATGTTACTCAGTAGTAGTAATGATAAGTGTTTACTTGTTCGAATTTACAGTGAATAGCGATTTTATAACACAGCGTGCTAGGCTAAATATTTGGAACCGGTAACGAAATACCGACTTTGAGTTTATTTATACTGTTTGAAAATTGTAAATTAAACGAGGGTTCATAATATTAAGAAACAATGAATTAAAAAAAATAACAAGTGAAGATGCCAGTACAGATACTGGACCAGTTGAAAGAATATGAAAAAATTATGGGACAACCTTAAAAAAAGTCGTAGATCAAATAAAAGAAAGTGATATCCCAACTAGCAAGGTAGTGCTGTAAGCTTTTGGTAAAAGAACCGTTCATCTATAAAAGCTCTCTATTGTTGTTGCCTGAACACCAATATGCTGGCTTAATGTTGTGTGGAATGCAAATTTGCTTTCTGCAGCATATTTGCTCTAAAATGAGGTGTTTAAAATATTCTTATAGCATAGTTACACAACACCTTAAAGGACAAATTTTTAACTGTTGCATAAATCTTTATACAACTATTTTGTACGGCATATTTGCAGGTTAGTCAAAATGGTTGTGTTGTGGCATCCATGGTAACGTTTATAAAACAAACATGAGCCTTGTTGTTTTGCTGTGCAAATTTACTACTTTAGCCAACAAATTGCTCCCAACGGAAGCACTTATACAACTGTTAGTAACTGTTAAAGGCTGTACATATGCTAAATATGTTGGTATACAACTTCACCATAACCTAACTTTCTGCTTTCATATTTTTGTTAAAATGCCATAACCAATGTTTTAAGAGAAACAACGCATGCATATTGGTTAAAAAGGTTTTATCAACTGTTCAAACAGAAGATATAGATCTGGTTCAAATTCTAGGTAAATCATTCGACTCTGTCGCTATTTCATTTCTGACATTTGTCAAATTGTTGTATAAGACCTGCAGGCAACACCAAAGTATTCTAATAAACTAAAGACAACATGGACGATGCCATGATAATACACAATCACCCGCCATATTGGGAAAACATTTATTCCTCTATTTGATATTAAATAATTATGTTTCAGTTCGAAATTACAGAAATAAAGTGATAAACATTAGTATAATTGTGTCTAAATATAAGATTTGTGGAAGATTTAACGCAGATAAGTTCAGTTTTCCATCTTAAAAATCTAGACATACTTTTGATCATTATCAAAATACGAATCAAATACGAAGCCCGTAGAAATTGCGTAACTACTTTGCACGATAATCACAATAAAATTTGCTGCGCAAGTAATTCAATAGCCCTATATCACAGTGTAGAAGTTTATCATATACCTGTGAATGAAATTCACAATGGCCGATATGTAAGTAAACAAGATGACTGTATTGTGTTAGTTATATATTCTTCAGTTCGTCTATACAATACGTAAGAAATAGTTTAGCTGCAATAAAGTAGAATCACGTAACAGAATAGTTGTATAGTTGACAAAAACTGAATCTTGCACTGACGCAAATGTCCTATAGCGGCTGCAAGAGGCTTACACTTTTGTTGTATAACTGTTACCTGCAGCCCTTATACAACCTCTTAAATGACTGAAGTGTCCTATTAGGTGTGCCCATTCTGCTTGTATAGCTGTTCTAAGAGGGTTTTGCCAATGTTCTTACAGTATACAATGCTGTGTAAGGAATACTGTATAATCATTCTTGCAACTCTAATAGGAGTGATAATTGTTAGTTGGGATGGGGGTCCTTTCTAATCAGCAGTAAATCAGTAAATCGAGCATTTCCATTGCACAATTCACAGACAAAGAACGCGTTTGTGGGGCGAATATGACATCTTACATCGAAATCGCAATAATAGAATCACACAATAAGTTTGGTCTTGTCTTGCAAATGTTTTATAATACAGTTTATTATCCTATACATGTCTTATTATCCTACTTTTCTTTCAAAAGGTCGTTATCGGGATAGGTAATACCGCACAGCTTCCATAAATAATGACAAGTTCACCCTTACAGTGATCAGACCTGGTATATTGATTTGAATTTGAGGATTTATTTTCCCTTAACCAATTTATGACTCTATCCGGAATGTAGAAGATTGAAAATGGCAGTAATAGAGTAAATTCATAAAATATGAATTTTCATGATCAAGCTTACCTGCAACATTTTGTCTATCTTGCGCAGAAACTATTTAGGATATTTGATTAGTAGGTACACTAGAACGCCATAATATCTGGAAGTATTTCCTAACTATGTACAGTTAAGATGCCCATAATTTTTTTCAACAAGCGTACTTGAATTGAGAAATAAAATAAAAAATAGTAGTCTCAAGAGATTTTATACACATTCTTAAAAAATGGGGTCAACAATCGGATAAGGGCATATATAGTTTTTCTAATTGAATCATCCCGTTCATCCGATTCACGATTTAGTAAGTCTATTTCATAGTGTATAATAACAGGAAATTTTCCTTCTCGTTTTTGGTGAATTTTTTCTAAGTTCACTGTACCTAGTTTTATGAAAAACCGTAGAATAATTTACAGATTGTGAGACATATATTCACAAAACATCATTGCTATTTTGCATTGTGAAGGCTATGTAAGAACATTAACATTTTTTGGTCTTAACCAGTCCTTTACGAATTTGAAAATCTGTGTGTTTGGCATTCGAGGATCTTCATGGGACCAACGCTTAATGTAGCTATCCAAAACATAATCGTTTTTTTTTCGGTCTTCCGTACCTGGGCCGCGTTGCTGTTGATCCGTATTCTTGATATTTACTAATAATTTTCGAAATAGCCCCTTTGTTCATTTTTAATCTTTGGGAAATGTCAGCATTTCTGACACCACTTCTACATAATTAAATTACCTTATCCTTTAAATCTTTTGAAAATTCTTTTACTTTTGCCATTCCCACTGATGTTAATATTTACCACACGCAACAGTAGAGTATCGCAGAATGAATAAATACGGCAAAACTGAAATGTTTCTCTACTTTTGTTGTTACAAAAACTGTGGTATTTAAAAAAACGCGTGTTTTTATTTTCAGAGAATTTGAATACTGATAAGATAAACCTTGTATTAGTACGGGAGACAAAGGTAGACTTTAATATTTATATTATCTGTTCCTTCACAATTTTAATTTAGGTATATGAAATAGTTCATAAAAATGTTAATATTTGTTTCCAAACTTTTGTCAGCTACTGTATGTCCTGATAACATTGTGAATTGAAAAATGAGTACTCACCTTAGGATCACCTATCACAGCTATACCTACTGAAAGCTTTCTCTTCTGACCTCCGCTCAAATGCTTGGCCGATGAGTTTGCTTTGTCGGTCAAGTCGATGTCTCTGAGGGTTCTCATCACTTCAGACTCCACCAAACTTGGGTGGATACCCTAGAACGATTATAAAATTAAAGCATATAAAATACAAAATTTTGATTGAATTTACTTTCACAGCTGCAAAAAATTCTAAATGTTCCTTTGGTGTCAGGTTGTCAAACAGGATGTCATGTTGTGGACATACTCCTGTCATTCGGCGTATTTGATCCATATCATTGGGGTCCCTGGAAAATGTTAATAATCGGTAAATTTTATCCACACATGATGAAAATTTAATGTATTAATGCCATTTCTAGATACTTAAGTAAGCCTCCAAAGTTGCATCCTAGCAACAAGCAAGAGTGAGCTACTTCCATGGGTGTTTGGATGTGACAGTAAATAACAGCTAATTATACGTATAATCAAAACAAACTATAACGAATCCAGGGGCAGACTATTATGACATAAAATCACGATATTTTGTGTGGTAGCTAAGATATACAATAAGGACGCACTAGGCGATACGCCTGCAATAAATGATAATTAATTTGAGGTCAAATAAGCATAGACAAAATTAAAATGTTGCTTCTAAATTTGAAATGTAACTGTTTCTGTCAAATTAGAAGCAAAACGAGTTGAATAATTTAAGCATAATTATTTTATTGTTCAGCGGTGTATGAGTTATAAAAGAATAGATCACCTGACATCATATCCAAAAATATAAGCTGTTCCAGATGTAGGAGCAGTCAAACCAGTCAAAATGTTGAATAAAGTTGTCTTTCCAGCTCCATTATGCCCCAAAATCGCGGTTATATGTCCTTCGTATATGGTTAGATTTATTCCATTTATTGCTCTTATCTCTGGCTTTCTACAACTCTGTAATTATAGAGGTAACAAGCTGCATTCAAAGCATAATGTTTGAAAATTGCTTACATGGAAACTTTTGTAAAGATCCACAATTTTTATCGCCTCACGTCCACGCATTTCTCTTGAAACTGGCTCAACATCTATAGTGGAATCAGTGTTGTTCAAAGAGTGAACGGACCCATCCCCATTTGCTGACAAGGGTATCTAAAATGAAAGTCATTGTCCAGTCCATGTATAAAAAGCATATTTATAGTACAAATATATATATGCGCAGATTCATATTATGGATTGTTAAACCAGAGTATTAAACAACTGCTAACAGAGTGACTGATTGCAATCAAAATATCTTTTCCTGGTGCTTATTTATACATACCCTTTGCATGCGTTTCTTGGCACACCAATATGAAGGCTTAAAGCAAAATAGTGGATGACGTTTCACACCATGTTCACCTAGAACGGAGATAACCTTGTTAATATTATTTTTATACGACTTCGGCTTTCATATATAACTTACTTGGCACCACACTATCCAAATAATAGGCAAGCAAACCATACAACACTATATCTAGGGCCATCAAGATTAAGCTACCACCAAAAGGCATTGCACCCTCCCACAGGTTATCAAAGTTGACTCCTCTACCGGACAAATCCATCACCAAAGCCTAAAAACATTATGCTGTCAACAATATAAAAACGGTTAGTACCAAACTCCTAACAGACTTATTACCCAAAGGAGAATATACTATATACGGTCAAATCTAGGAGTTATTGTGTGGAATGATAAAGTGACTGACATTTTTTTATTGAAGTCTGATATTCTGTTTGGCTTTAACTTTCACATAATAACTGACGTTTTCGTCAAAGTTCGATACGTTAAATAAAGGTCCGTCTTATTTTGCTTACGCAATTTTATCTATCATGTCTTCTCTGACTAATACATAACCCGATAGTCATAAAGTGGTTTTTATAGCCTTTTGTTGTCACTTTTTAGTTAACTATTGAACTTTGGTCTAGAAGACAGGATCAGGATGGTGAAAGTAGTATTCATAACTCTATACCCTGCTTTAAGTGTCATCTAAAGAAAGCGATCTATACTTACTCTATTCAGTAGTACTAAGAACAAACATCAAAAAAGAAATGTCATGATTTTGTAGCAGTTTAGGATGTGTAATAGAGAGATTAATGAGGTTCCACTTGATAAAATAGTTACTTGTGAATTAAGAGCAGTACAGTGGCACCTTGCTGCTAGAGGAAGAGCAGAGCTCGAACTTTATATATTTTTTCTATAACCGCAGCAAACCGTCATTATCATGCAGTATTAATAGCAGTATTATGTTGTCTAGCTAAATTATAGGAGAGATAAAAATTTCACTCACGTTATCCATGGCAAGAGCAAATCCACACGAACTAAGCAGTGATATAATCCACAATACCACAGAACTGGACTCTTTGAAGAACACTTGTATAAAGTAGAAAAGGCTCATTATTATCACTATGAAGTTTCCTAGAATTCCGGCTGTCTAAAAAGAAAATAGTATTATTATTTTTATGGCCGAAGCGTGAGAAAACTTTTGGACTTACCCTCGACTTATCGAAGAAAGGCGTGATCATAAATCCGAACATTATAATTGAGAACGAGTACAGTAGCACCAACATGAATATTAAGAAGAAATTAGTATTCTGGAACACTTTTAGTGTGAATAACAATACGCAGCAAACTATCGTCAAAAATAAGACGAATATGCCATATATGATGAACCAAGACAACCTAAAAATAAAAAAAAATAAAATAATGTCAGTGCTCCTATAAATTACAAATTACGATTCAACAGCAGTTCAAAAGGACTGTATATACCTTGTGGGTTGAACTCATGCTGGATTATAATATACGAGGGTTATCCATTAGGTACCATCCGTTTTGAAATATAATTTAGGGTGGTATGTTCGCCATTTATATTTTCTTGCAAAATAAAAATCAAGAATAAGTTATAAGCATAACTTATAAGATAAAAACCAAATACTCCGTGCTGTCTGCTATTTTGTAGCATGATGAATTACAAAGTATAAAATGGGACTATTTAGAGTTCATATCGCTCAGAGATATCAACACTTACTTAAAAAATGAAAATGTATTTTTGCAGCTAGAGAAATGCAATAAATCGTCTGTATTGATATTGTTTTAACAAAATTAGTATTACAATATTACAGCACTGGCATCGCGATGAGATTCCTTGATGTGGTTATACCAGCCCCTTCCCACTTCAGTTGGCCCACTTCAAGATTTGTACCAAAATATGCCTTTATAAACTAAATATGACGAAACTATTTACTTCTAAAACAATTTATTTTGTCAAAAACATTTTAGATACACTCTAGTCGTAAAAAATACATATTTGAAATCACTTAGACCTATAACTAATAGAACATCAGAACAAATAAACAATGTGCAAATAAATGCGCGAAGTTAACAAAGCAACAATTGAAAGATTACCATTGGGTAACATCACCTTTATTTTTTATTACGGCTGAAATTATTTGGGGCATAGTGTTAACCAAGTTTTGGCAAAAATTTGGTGTAAAACAATCCCATATTTCTTGAAGCTTTTGTCTCAGTTCGGTGATTGTACGAACAGGATTTTGTCGTAGAACCTTTTTCATCTCGTGTCACAAAGTTTCAATAGGTGACAGATCTGGACTGTTAGAAACCCATTTCAAAAGTGGTACATTACTTTCTTCCATCCATTTTATAGCCTTTTTTGAGGTATGGCACGATTCACCATCTTGCTGAAACACAAAATCTTGGCCGGATGTCAAACATTCTTCCATCACTGGTAAAAGCGATTCTTATAAAATATTTGTTTGTTTCCATCAATAAAATGAAGTTTCCATACTCCTTTTGACATACTGCCCCAGACCATAATGGATGCTGGAAATTTCACTTTTCTCTTCAGACAGTCAACATGGAATGCTTCATTTTTTTGCGTATAACTCTACTGCCACTCTATGAGTTGTGGACCTCGAAATTCTCCTTCCAGCAGCGTCACTCCACAGAGCACTTAATTGTAAATAATTGTGATATTACTTTATCCACATATCGTGGCTTAATATTAACTGAACCAGTTACGTTATATATTGTAACAATATTTCTCACACTGTACCGCGATAAGTCTAACAAAGTTGCAATTTCTGAGTTTGATTTCCCAGAATTAAAAAATTTAATTATCAGTAACCGAATTTTCTCACTAATAACCTTTCCTCTACCCATTTTGAAAACCTCAACTACCTAAAACTATTTTAAACAGCTGTGATTAATAAAAACAATTGTCATGGCTTTTATTTTTCACAGCCACCTATGCGTTATAGACTTATTTTGCATTGAAATGAAAATAGGTTGATATGCTGTAATTGCAACATGTTATTTTTATGCTGCAAATTTGATTAGGGAGTGATAAAGTTGGTGTTTTGTACTATATATTATCAACATATTCATTGTAAACATTTTAAACCTATAACACTCTGCTACATTTTTATTATTTGTGTTTGATAAGAAAAAACTAAGATTTCAATAGTTGGGCCAAGTGGGAAGGGGCTCGTATATGACAGGCCGGCTATTGACCAACCTGACCAACTACATACCAATGTTCCTAAAACATCAATGTTTAACCATTGCTGGTCATATTTGCATTCATTATTGTACTTTTCCACACAATGTTGTGTGCGTAGTCATCATTTTTAAAATATCATGGAACAGTGTAAGTATTTAAATATTACCACACTACTTCTCATGCTACACCCACTACTTCCCATGCAATGCACAAATGGTGGTTACTTTATCGGTAACCCTCGTACAACGAACATATCAAATGAATAACTCTAAAGCTGTGGTAAACATTTTGAAGTGCAACACCTGATTATGTGATTGGACAATACTTCTGCATTAATAGTTACAGTATTAAGTACAAAGCGTATTATAAAAGTTTTGCAATACAGCTTTATTTATTGATTTTATTCAAAGTAATTTCCACTACATTCAATACTCTCTTCCATCCGCCAAAACCAGTCCTTGAACCTCTGCCAAGTTTCACCCGGGAGTGCCGGAGATTCGTTGTCTCAAGCCTCAGAAGGTCCTCATTGCTAGAAAACCTTTTTCCTTTTAGCTTCATTTTCACATGCGACAACAGTGCAGACTCGCAAGGAGCAACGTCTGGATTGTAAGGAGGGTGCTCAATAAGTTTCAGTCCAGTAGTGGTCAAATACTCGGTGCAGGCTTTGGCGAGGTGAGCTGGAGCGTTGTCATGGTGGAGGCACCGAGTGTCGATTCTTGACTTTGGCCGCAGTTTTTTCATAAACTCTATGATTTTAGGCAGTATGTCCAAAACAAAACGCTCCACAATCCTGCTCGATTTGAAAAATACAGCTATCATTTTTTTGAGCCTTGGTCGGCATATCGTAATAATAGAGCCAAGTCTCGGCACCTGTCACGATGCTGTTCACATACCGAGATTGTCCCTTATCAAACATCTTCAGTATCTTTAGGCACCAAGTCGTACGACGAGTCTTTTGCTCTTCCGTCAGACTATGCGGTATCCAAAGAGAACAAAGTTTCCTTACGTGAAAATGGTCCTCCTCTGTTCGTATGTCACTCTCCGGTCTTCGTCAAGCATTGTCCTCACAGCAGTAATGTTTTCCACTGGTCAATGCTTAAACCACGCGTAAAGTTATACCGTAAAACTGCCCTTATTTCACTTCGTGACCACGATGCCATAGCCTGCACTTTACACTGTCAATACTAATGAACAATTAATCATTAGACGTGCTGCTGGTGGCTCCTATGCACTCATGGACATGTATCAACATGCAGTAACAAGCAGTCTCCTCCTCCGTTTGTTAAGTCATATTGCAAAACTTTTATAGTACCCTTTTGTACATCTTAACCAGCTTAGCTAACAAATACCGATAACCAACTTAACTAGCCAAACAATATATCACTAAAATCATTCAGATTCACACAAAACGTGACTTTGTGTGTTGCTTATTATACATTTATAGATAATGGTGCATCTTACCAAAAAACAGAATCTTTCAGTCCCATAATTTTCATCCCTTCCTTTATTTTGTTTTCCTTTTCGCCAACTATCAAAATCAACAAATAGGTGACAAACTGCGAGAGTGACGTCACCATATAGATCGGAATCAGTACCCGAATCACAACCATCCAAGTGCCTGTGTGTGCCTTTTTCGGAAACATTTCCAAAAGCAGTTGCGGAATTTTAAGGTCTGAATTTGTGTCGATCTAAAAATAATACAGATGTAGGAGGGTATTACTTTTGCTAAGTGTTTGTGATTGTTTTATCGGCTAGTAGACTGAGAGTGAACTAGTGAAATTTTCCATATCTTTAATATTTTTAGATGTGAGCTAGAAAAATACAATTTTAATTCAAATCGTGAAAGGTAATGTATCAAGTAGACAAATCCACAGTCTAAATAGCTGAATGCATCCAAATCCATCAAATATGGCGATGTACTTATAAGTCTTTGGATTGTTGATATAAAAATAAACTGTTAAAGGATGTCTTTGTCAAACAGCCTCCCCGAGGCCAAACATTTAAAAAAACAATAAATAAAATTAAAACAGTACTTAAAGTTGTCAGATCAAAAAGTATACCTAAATACAAAACTCAGTATCAAGTACAAGTACAGTAGTATCAACACACATTTATATATTAAAACAGTAACTGTCACACAATTTTCCTCTAAAATAGAGTAGTAATATAAGGTAATAGACTAAGCAAAAAAAACTATAAAAAACGAGTGTATGAAAAAGCCAAGGGACACTCTTTTAAACACCGCGGTGGCTGCAGTGGTAGACGGTCTCCTGATCAGCCGCCGGGAGCTGCGCGGGTTCGAATCCCGTCCCAAGAGAAAATTTTTCTCCTTGCTATGGACGTTGTGATTGTCCGTAGGTGGTAGACGGTCTCTGAGTGTTGTACGCGGAGGTACCACCCGGCGGATCTCGTTAGCGGGGCCAGAATGATTGCAAGCTGCATGCACACGTGTTCCCTCGCTAGAGTCCGTGTGGCGTCCCCCCTTTTCCCTGTATAGCCCCAGGGTTACCCCTTGGGTGTTTAGACCTTAGGCCTTCGTGGTAGCTGGAGTATAAAAAAACAAACATTTAATATGTGCATACTCTCATTGCCCTTGCTTCTGTTTGTTTACGTTTTTATATTTTTGGGTTGATGTTTTTCGATTTAGAGCTTTTTCATCTGATAACCTTATGTAGATTTGTTTTTTTAAACACACTGTTTACACATATAAACCAAAGGATGACCTAGAGACGCTGATTACGTTGAGCATTCAGACGATAACATCTTTAAATATTGTATATTCATCTCAAGAATTTGAAGACTTATAGGTACATAAGTACACTTTATCTGAAGTCACTTGAAATAGCATAAAAACCTTTGGTCGGCGCGTCCTTTGTAATTTCATGACGTATCATAGGCGTGCGGTCATTTATTTAGAACGATAATAATAATGTTTTTATATCACAATAAATGGATTTTACTATCTTCTTATTTTTTTGATTTGGGATAAAAAATACTTATATTGGGAGTTTATGTTGACTGAAAGTTAAGAAATGGAAAAATTACAGAATTCCAATGTTTGACATAGGCAAATATTTACATAGCAGGTAGGTATATAAAAAGGTATATAAAGACTTACATTATAGGTATTTATATATCATCCTCGCCTTCGGAGCTGTCGCTAGAGTCATCTTGTAGAGGAATTACAACGGGATTTACAGGAGGCAAAACACAATATTCATTTTCTTTTTCAATAATATGCCTAGAACACTGCTTCCATAGGTCTGTGGCAGCAATATGAAATACTGCATCTCTTATTGTGGCCAATAGCGATTCACTTAATTGAGGGGTCTGATTATGTTTTCTTACTTTTTTTTAAAGCAGCCCAGACCAACTCAATCGGGTTAAAAATGCAGTAATAGGGAGGTAGACGTAATACTTCATGGCCATTTTGCTGAAGCAGATTGTCAACAACATACTCTTTTTCAAATTTTTGTCTTTTAATAAGATCCAATAATATGGCTTTGGTTGATTTTTGTGGTATTTCCATTCCCTTATCCTTCATAAAATCAATAATGTCTTGTATTTTTGTGCCTGTATTCGGAATTTTGTTTTTCTGTCGGGAATGGTATGGCGCATTGTCCATAATAATTACTCAATTTGGGGAAATGCTTGGTATTAACTGCTGCTCTATCCACTTTTCAAATAAGTCGGAGGTCATGTCCTCATGATAGTCGGCACATGATTCTTTGATATTTTTGGCAGATAACAGCAAGGCATTAGGTATAAATCCATTTTCACTGCCAGCATGGAGAATAATGATTCGTTTTCCACGGTTGCATGGTGCATTTAAAATGCACTTGTTGCTGTCGTCAACCCAGCCGTACTGTACAACATCATGGGTATCATACCATGTTTCATCCAGGTAAATCAGATTTCTTTTCTGCTCTCTATAGATTTTAACTTTGTGCAAAAATTCTTGGCGCAATTCAACGATTCGAGACGACTCCATAATCACCATTCTTTTATTAATATAATTTTTTGTATTGAAAATCACACAGTTTTACAATACAGTGCAGTGAGTCTAAGCATTTGTAATTATAAAAATCTTCAGGATAATCTTTTAATTTATCCCGTATCATTTCCAACGTGGGCACCAAATTTTCTTTATAAAATCCGTATATTATACGACGAATATCTTCCTGAAAACCCACGTCTATTCTTTTTAATTTTTGCCCTATGCGCTTTCTGTGGAAGGAATGGTTGACTATATCTCCCCTTTTTATAACCCGATAAATGGTAGACCGACTGATTTTTGTCAGGATACAAATTCTGTTTAAAATTTGATTTTGCGAGGAATCTGGATTTTCGTTTTTCAGACAATCATACATATTTAGGATTACTCTTTGGGTCTGTTCCTCTAAATCTTTATGAAAGAATTCTGCCTGCACAGGTTCATCAACCATCTCCTCGTGGCTTGGAGCATTTTCCCAAGGTCTCCAAAGAGCCATATTTAGGACACACAAGAACAATCAACACAACAATTAAATCAACAAGTAAACTGAGTATTCAAAAGTCAAAAACACACAAACTAATAAAATCTATGAAAAAACACGGACAGACCAAAGAAAACACGTTTATTCACCGCTACACCGCACTGGCTAAACTGTTTCAATTTTCAGTAGCCACCTGCACTTGTTCGGAGCTCTGAAATACACGCTTTCTCATTGGCTATGTCCACGCATAGGCGTGCTTTACTCCACGTGGCCGGTAAAACTGCCTTTGATCTTATACGGGGGATATTTGCTGCGAAATTTGTCGATTTTTGCAGCAGCAGAGCGTGCTAAATATAGATATATAAAACGCACCCGGTATTTCACAGTGTTTCAAGTGACTTCAGATAAAGTATACATGTTTTGTATTACATATGGGCTTAGTAACTTGACAGCTAGATATTTTGTCTCATACCCGAATTTTCGTATAATCCAGTAAAGCTTGCAGGGCTAGAAATCCTGAAAAATAATACTGATTGACAGGACAACTGTCTCCTCCTTCTATGGCAGGTAAGACACCTGTGAAAGTGTACCATTCCTTGGCCGTACTCCTACATGCTAGTTCTGAACTGTATAGGCTTGTTGTTGGCGGGGTTGCATACAGTGATGGATTTGTTCTAATTTCGTACCTAAAAAAGGTTATACAAATGAAATGGTTATATTATTGAAGTCTGCGATTAAACGTTTTATGTGTCCTGTAGTTTATTGCTTGACCGATAGTGTCGTACCTCTCAAAGGTGAAAAATACAACCCGCAACTCGACAATTTCGTCAGAAAACGCAACTTAAAGCAGTCCATTGCTGCAGCAGTTTTGTGCTGTATCGCAGTAGCCGTAGAATCGCATTTATCATTTGGCAGCAGTTTTCACAGGATAAAACCACTGTAGCTCTGAACCGCTTCAAGGACCTCCAAATTAGCCAATACACCAATTCCACGAGGATCCATCACGCTTTGATGTCTACTGAGGTGAACATCTGATCAGCAAGTGACATTTTTGTGTTTGCGACGTTGGCAATAATGAATCGGGTGTAAATCTAGAAAAACTTGTTTGTAGCGTTTTTTTTGTACGCAAACGGACCTTTCTGAATAAAAGAGTTGTTAGCAAGTACAAAATGAATCTGTAGCGTACAAAAAAACAAAGCAAAATACGTCTCTGACTACCTGACGTTGACGGATCCATCAGAATTGTGTCCTGTGCCGATATGAGGAATTTTGAGATATTACTAGATAATAATATAATAATCACTCATGAAATAGGGTACATGTTGGCAGTCATAACCTGCAAATGCTCCGACGAATGTCCGTTCACTGAGTTGCCAAATGCTCAGCTGGTCACGCTATCGGAAGCTGTAGTGTAGATCTGACAACTTCCGTTAGACTGACGCTTTATTTTGGCATTTTACATAGCCTCACTTCCTCCTACCAATGCTTCTGGCATATTGGCAGTTGCATTGTCCGCCGTAAAGAAGATATTGAATAAATGAATCTTGAAATTAGAGGCATTCCGGCCACCATAAGGAGCCAGTGCATAGGCCGCTTAAGCGGGCCCTTATGCACCTCTACAATCCTTAGATCACAAGCCTCGCCCTTTTAGCGAAGTTGAGAATCGCCTTGAGTCCAAGCTCGTTGACGTCCTGAGGGTCCAAAGTAATGGACCCCAGTATAGTCTGCCTATAGTAGCTCAGAAATTCACAGCGACACAACAGGTGCGCCGAGGCCTCTTCCTCTACCCCGCAGCGTTCATACAAGCTATCCTCAGCCACCCGCATGACCTGCAGGTGACGCCTTAACGTGTTATGGCCAGACAACAGTCCCACCAGCAACCTTAGGTTGGCTCTATCCAGAGATAGGCAGAAGCGTCCATCTTTAGCACTGGGCCCTTCAATGAGTTCCCTTGCCTGGCGGAGATGTCTGGAGATACTGCTCCATTTCTGAAAGTGTTGCCTTGCAACCCACGTCTCCATTTTCCTCCTAGCTTTATGCGCGGTCACTCCTAGAGCTGGCTCAGGACCAACGAGCTTGCTGGCTGATCCTGTCTTCGCCAGAGTGTCCGCCGTCTCACTGCCTCTTATCCCAGCGTGCCTCGGATGCCTCGCTGCGAGGCAATCCAGAGCCTCCCTGCATTGCAATACAAGACTCGAAGTAATCTGACAGGCACTTAGTGCCTTCATTGCAGCCTGGCTGTCGGATAAGGTTGTTATTCTTCTCCTAGGCCCACCCTCCTCCAGAATGTGAGATACACAAGCCAGAAGCGGAAAGATTTCCGCCTGAAAAATAGTGGTGTATCCACCGAGAGGCAGAGGTAGCCTAGTTCTAGGCCCAGAGACCCCAGCACCAGAGCCCTCTTTGGTGACCGAGCCGTCCGTGTACCAGACCTGCCCGCTCACTCCGGAGAGTACCCGGCTACCGGCGTCCCACTCCTCCCTGGTGGGATACTCCACAATAAACTTGCGGTTGAAGCGATATTTAGGGGTAATACGATCACCCCTGCTTAGAAGGACGGGTCCTCCCTTTGCAATTCGACTAAGATGGCAGTATGCCCCTTGACAGGATTCAAGAAAGCCCAGCTGCCCTGACTCCACAATCGATGAGCGACTACTCTCGCTTCCCCGCAGATCACCAGATCCAACGGTGGGAGATCCAACAGAGTTTCCATTGCACTCAATGGCGTTGTTCGCACTGCGCTTGTAATACTAATACAGGCCAAACGCTGAATTTTAGTGAGTTTGGCCTTAGTTGCCTCAGTTCTAATGCAAGGCCACCAGACCAGGGAGCCGTACAAGAGAGATGGACGTACTATCGTCGTGTAGAGCCAGTATACCACTTTGGGTTTAAGCCCTGACCTTACACTGACAACACGTCTACAAGCCCACATTGAATTGCGAGCATTGCTAACTTTGTATTCAACATGCTCTCTCCAGTTCAGTTTGCAATCCAGGATAATTCCCAGATATTTCACTGACTGGGACAAAATTAATCTAGTCCCAAAGAAGGTCGGCATGACCAGCCCGTCAAGCCTTCTTCTCCTAGTGAATAAGATCAGCTCGGTCTTTTCAGCATTAACAGAAAGATCGACTTCCCTACACCACGATTCCACAGAGCGCAGAGCGCCCTGCATTATTTCCGAGACTTCTACAAAAACGCCCCCTAACTACTATGCTTACGTCATCAGCATAGACTTGCACGTAGACACCCATACTGCTGAGCCTAACGATGAGTTCGTTCACCACGTTACACCACAGTAGGGGTGACAGAACTCCGCCCTGAGGGCAGCCTCCAGCTACACTCACGCTGCAGCTTACGCCATTCAGCATAGCTGTTGTTACCCGACTCTCCAGAGTCGAGAGAAGATATTACGCCGGATCAATTTCAGTACTGTGGGAAGCGAAGCAACATAACAAATACTGGGTGTCTCGGAGTAAATTTCCTTTTTGAAGGCTAATAAAAAATTGTCATGAAGTTAAAACCACTGTAGCTCTCAACCGTTTCAAGAGCCTTCATGTTAGCTGAATGCGCTCACTGACTTCAGTGACAATATGTTGGCAGTCATAACCTGCAAATGTTCCGACGAATGTCCGTTCAATGAGTTTCCAAATGCTCAGCTGGTCACGCTATAGGAAGCTGTAATGTAGATCTGACAACTTCCGTTAAATTGGAACTTTATTTTGGCATTTTGCATAGCCTCACTTCCTCCTACCAATGCTTCTGACATATTGCGAGTTGCATTTTCCGTCGTAAACAAGCTATTACGCCGGATCAATTTCAGTAATACTGTTGGAAGGGAAGCAACAGAAAATACTGGCTGTCCAGGAATAAATTCCCCCTTTCAAAGGCTAATAAAAATTGTCTTGAAGTTTTAAGATTAATTTATTGAAGCAAATATAGGTAGATTTCATGTTTTAAGAAATATATTCTCGAGGTGCCTTTCATTTCGGTCGAAACACTCCTGCAATGCCGTCTTGATGTAGTTGACAACTGCTAAACATAATTCAGCTGTAAGTGCTCTAATTTCTTCCCGTATTTTATGTTTTAATTCTTGCAGAGTCATAGGCCGGTTAACATAAACTTTACTTTTGAGGTATCCCCATAAAAAAAGTCCAATGGGGTGAGATCTGGAGACCTAGCTGGCCAGTTTAGGTCTTCAAAGCGAGAGATGACCTGTTCCGGGAATAATTGTCTGACGACTGCATTTTATGCGGTAGCGGGTCTTGTTGAAACCATATTTCTTGATCAAAGCCATCACATTCTTGTAGCCGAGGTACCAAAAACTCCCAAAGCATTGCACAATTATGATCATTCGTTACAGTCTGGGCTATGCCACGTTGGCTCTCAAAAAATAACGGACCGATAAGCCGACATTGCACTACACACAATTACTTTTGGGCTATGTAGGGGCCTTACGTGTTTTTTCCTTGGATTCTCTGGTCCCCAATAGCGACAATTTTGCTTATTAACTGCGAGTGAAAGGTGAAAGTGCGTCTCGTCACTGAACAGAATGTGGTTAGTTCGGTCGTTTGCAAAAAAAAACGGTTTATTATTGTTTCGGGGAAGGAACGACGGTTTATGAAGTCATTTGGGCTTAATTCTTGCACTATTTAGATCTTGCAGGGGTGAAGCTTTAAGTATTTCTTTAAAATTGTATAAAAAGATGATTTATGTGATGTTCTACGAACAGATCCACTTGGATTTTGAATTATAGCGGCGCGTACAGATTCAACATTCTTAGGAGTAGTTACAGTCCTTGTATGAATAGGACGTTTCACATTTAAAGCTGACGATGTCTCTCAAAACCTCTTCAGCCACGATTTCACTAAATCTTTACTTGGTGCGTCCTCCACACGTCTAATATTGAAGTGAGTACAAAACATTCGTTTTGCAATTGTGTTGAAATATGTCTCAATAATGAACGCACGAGGCGTACCAGACTAACGCTCCATTTTTACTAAATAATCCACATCGAAGGACGCTACGCCAACCGAAGTTACACTGCTGCCAAGTTATTCGAGTTTAAAAAGGAAAATTTATTCCTGGACACCTTCTATATTATAGCCGCTGCTTGCTAAAGGCAACAATAACTAAAAAGATAAAATATATTGATGACGCCTAGTCAAAGTATGACTTACTTGAGTTGACCTTCAATTGGCCCGGGATCATCAAATAGAACTGCTATAGGTATACTTTCGGGGTTCATCCAGTAGGCCCGTAATAAATCCTTTTCAGTTTCAAAAGGAACCCAAGTGATCATGGATATGTTTCTTCCGTTATTTATGGAGTCCCATAGGCTAGTTACTTTTCGTAGAAATTCCTGAAAAGAGTCAGAACAAAATGAAAAATACTATCAAGCAGCATGATAGACAGTATTTGAAGATTATTACAGATTAACGGCTAATGGCAAATACAATTTTATGTCTATTTAATTTTTTTGGCAGGTTGCAAAAACCATTCTGGTACTAACCATTCAGTGAATGGTGGAAAACAGCGTAAAAATAATAGGTAGGTAGTGTTTTGCTTTCATTTGAAAGGATTTAGGAACTACAACAATTTATTTGAAGAAAATGCAGTTTTAAGCTTATCTTTTAAATTTTTCCCTGAAAATGGACCTATACGAACAACGTTGTAGTGATCTTTTTTAATTGCTATTGATGTTTTATCATATATTCTTTCTATAAACAACTGTTTTTTTAGTGGCTCACTCGTCTGACTAGTTCCACCAACGGAACAAATGACTCTTGGTTTGATGAAAGCTTATTGTGTTTCGTTACGGCTATTCGGAAACTGACTACAGAGGTCAACATTTAAGAGTTATCATTGGACCACATATGGATATCCTATGATATTTGAGGTCTCTGAACTCAATGCTTTGGTCAGTTGATCCCTATCATGTCAAATTCAAGGTCATTTTCAAGGACAAATTAAAAAAATGCCTAAAAATAGTAAAATTCTATATTGCACTACTTTGGGATGCTGAATCCAAATATGGAGTTGCCTGGCAAGCCTTGGTCTTAAAAAAACCTTAGGTTGACCTTAAAATCATCTTTTATGTCCTTGTCGGTTGGAACAAATGTATCTACTACACAAACCGACATATGGAGGTTTTCAGATAAATGCGAACATTTTTACACTCGTAGCCGTAACCTTAATTTGGCCTCACATGTTAAAAGTATTCAGCAATATTGAAAACACAACAACCTGTGTTACAAACTTTGGCATTGAAATAACTTAATTTGGTAGGTATAACCCCGCTAGGCTATATGAATGCCGTCAGATTTGGATTCACTGACCCAAAAGTATGTGCACAAAAGTTTTTCTAAAATTGACCTTGAAATGACCTTAACCCTAACGTGATAGAGGTCAACCAACCTCGGCATTTCCATCCCAAAAATAATAAGATATCCTCATTGGGTCCAGAGATAACAGTTAGATCAAATGTTGACCTGAGTAATATTCTTTAAATAAGCATTTTTCAAAAATCAATCAATCAAGACGAACATAAGGATATGTCAAATACCAAAACCCGTCAAGCCGTTTGAGCTGTAGAATTTTTTGTCCACATTCATACATTATCATTATTGATATTATTTGTTCCTTCTTTGCATTGTAAAACGTACTTTTCATTGTGTCTCGAGTTAGAACCCATTCAAATAAAACATTTTAAAAGCCTTTTCAACTCACGAAAAACATAACCCTCCTTCTGAGATATTCGGGTAAAAAAATAGAATGGTCTTCAAATGCTACTATAGACTAAAACATCGGTTAATGAGGTAACAGCAATAATTTTCCATATGTTCTAATTATAAGATTGAAAAAGCACTTGAGTTTACCATGGTTTGTGTGGTATTAGGCACGATCGCTATAGTATGGTTGTTTAACATTCTGAAGTGCTCCAAAAGCTCCGCTTCTCCCCGTGGGGTGTCGATCTCAGGCAGATTTGGATTTGGCAACACCAGCTTCATTATGATTAAGATAGAGAGGGAATACAAGGGTAGCAGCACTTCCTGAAATAGAAACGAGAATAAATACAATGTACGATAACTTGCAAATTTATTGGCCACCAGGAATCAAAAAGTCAAATCTAGCGGTACGAACATCTACATTAATCTCCACCATACACCTGGATACAAACCACCCGGACATCATATTAATTATAAAAATACTGCAAGTCATCAAATGTCTCCCTGAAGCATTTTTCCACTTTTACTTCAATCTTGCTGTATCTATCGTACTATTAAAAGCTCCAAGAAACTTAATAATTCCTCGTATAAAGTTTGAATTCTTTTGAAAATAGTATCGGGGAATGCGAGTCTTTAGCTGGCCCAGTCAGTTGATACTCACTTCTCGCGCTTCTCTCTCGTACACATTGAACTCAACCCGTCAGACAATTTGGTTTTCTCTGTATACCCAAAAAAACCCTGCTGCACCGAATATCGTATAAATGTGGTAGCAACTTCATTGTATGCCAGCTGTTCGGTGTTCTGGACAATACTAACCACACAAAAAATGCTTGCTAGATATATTTTGAGTTTTTATTCGAAGATGAGTCATTTATTTTAACAGTGAGTAGATCTGATCAAAAGAAATGTTTTTTTCCTTTACCATTTTTCTGGTAAAATTAACGTAACAAAGTTATAGCCCTTTGGAAGTTTGAGTACCGCCCTGTCTCAATAATAATATTATGTGCTCGTGTTTGGCGACAACGGATATAATCCGCCTTATCGGTTCATCGCATCGGAAACAAAAAAGCGAAAGAATTTGGAACGATGTTTTTACAATTATTTTATTCATTTGTATACAGTCAGTGTCAGTCGGTAACGCGTGAGTGAATAGTGGTGTATGTTGCGTGGCTCAAACGAAATAAAAAATGGCACATGTTTATGCGGATCGGTTTCCCAATCGAGTGCAACCAACCCCTCGTGCCTTTGTTAATGTAGTACAACGGGCTCGTGAATCAGGTGACTTAAGACCTCACAGGGGACCTCACGATCAAATACAGGTCCGCACTGAAATACTTGTCGGGAGGATACTTTATAAAACAAGGTAAAATTTTTTTTTATTTTTTTTTTATTTTTACACACATATTTTGGTTTATCTTCCTTCTACAATCATTATCTGAAAATTAATGACTCAACTTCAAAGTCACCCTGTATATTGCGGTTTTGATCTTGAGGCGCATCCCACAAACAGAAACCATATTGTTGAATGTTGTGGTTACTTCAAAGTTATACACTTGAATTGAAAAGTCGTTTTGATATAATAAAAAGAAAAACAAGGTCCAACTTGGCAAAACCAGAACAACTTCTAATTGCGGGAATAAACCCACGCAGAAGTTCGTTAATTAATTTTACGTAGCAATTATTTTTTATACATTTGAAATCTCGCCATGATTCATGTAGAAATCCAATATAAAACGGGTATAGCGAGTTAAAGATCAACAAAAAAACCTCAGCAAAGAAACCGTTCGGGAGAAGTTACACAAGATTTGAATATGCGAAAGATTTTTGTAAAGACGTTGGCAAAAATTCTCATTACTCTCATTACTCGTTTACTGAGTAAAATATTTTGGTGGAAAAAAAATGTGTTATAACGTTGCCGCATCCACTTTATAGTCACGATGTTAGTCTCCGAGACTTTCCACTTCCCCAAAATCAAATTTCATCTCAATGGAATTCACCTTGACGCCCTAAAAGAGGCCGAAAAGCTGTCACCGTGGTGATTACCTACTCCGAGTTCTGCTGTGCTATGCTGCAATTCGATCTTCGATCATATCAAAGCTACTACAATTTAGAATAAATTAATCACGTCCAAATGTCAAACCCCAGACTGAAATAGCGCTTTCAGTCAAGACATCCATCAGGTGGTAGACACAGTGCAAAATACCTTGATTTTATGGGTGGTTGTCGTGCGTAATGTAATATGATACCGTCGAAGGTGATGGAGAAAAAAGCCTCCATTCTCCATAGACCGCACCTATGAGTCTACATAAAATAAAGCCATCGCCTTACTAATCTTTGGTTTCCATTAATTAAGTAATGGGCCACTAAAAGCTACAGTGTTCTCAGATCGATTGTGTGGAAAATTTATACAGGGTAATGACGTGTTTAAGGTTAAAAGCTATTTTCGAGAGGGATTGTTTTTTCGACTATGTACATTCAGGTTAAATGCTTTCTCAGTGCAGTTTTATCAATTGTGATAGTTAGATCCATTATACTGGATCCGCCGTTTTGGAAACGTATTATATATATATATATATATATATATATATATATATATATATAACTTGAGACGTGGTCATTGTCGTCTAGACCAGTTAGGTGAAAAATTAAAGCTTCCGCTTTTTGTTGGGTACTTCGACAAGATTTAAGCAAAGAGGACTCTTTATACTTTTTTTAATTCTCTCTAGCTTTCAATGGACTTTGCCATCATCATCAGGAGCTGCAATTACAATGATAACAGTAGCAACAAAGGTGTAAAATGAATTTAAATTGACTCAACTTACAGTAGTATGTGAGGATGTTGCTAATTGTTGTTTACGTATAGGATGAGGGAAACGTCCAGTAACATGGTGAGAGCTGAATAGATTGCACAATAGTCAAAATTTATACAAAACATGACAAGAACAAGTTAAAAACAGATTAAAAATTATTTTAAAAATTAGAGCATTACATCGTGAAACCACCTGATGATTGCACAAATTAGTGGTCATGGAATGATGAATTGATGAGTGACATGAAACCCTTTGACAGAAGGCCGAAGGATGTCAATGTCAGTATTGAAAGATGGAACGAATTGTGGGCGTGTGCCAAAACGTTGCCAAATCACTTCAGATGATGAGATTTTCAGAATTTTATGTTAGAATTTGTTAAACCGACCAGAGGCAGTTGAATAAACTATATTATTATTAATGGGAATTTAAATTAACAATTATTAATAAATCGTGAGGAGAGAATTATTATATTTTGAGTGGAATGAAATTTACTGGTGGAAACGGCCAAAACACAGATTCTAATTATGGTTGTGAAGAGTTGAAATTTGGGGAGATATGTAAGTTCTCCAATTTTTCGCAGTTTAGCAAATATGAGTAAATGACACTCAGTTGTTTAACATCTGTCTTTTTGTTGATACAGTTGTTATTCATGAAAATGTGGGACATTTCCAGGAATAAACGTTTGGAAAGGTGTTTTTCTTTATCAAGAACTTTGATACTTGTGTAATTCATAGAATGCCCTGTTGTGTTAACATGAGATGCTAGAGCGCATCTTTCAGGATGAAGCCTAGCATCACTTTTGTGTGATGTAATCCTTCCTTTAAGAGATCTGGAGGTCTGACCTATGTATATTTGGTTGCAGTTGTTGCAATTGATGGAGTAGACTGTGTTGGTTAAGCCAAGCAGCGGGACTTTGTCTTTCATTTTTGAAAAAATGCAGTTTATAGTGAGGACGGATTTGCAAGCAATTCGAAAGTTCAAAGGACTGCACAATCTGATCAGCTTAGGGGTCAATTCCTTGATGTAGGGCAGGACAGCAAAACCAGGTCTGGAGTCCGGGTTGGTGCTAGTACTGTTAGGATTGATGTTATTATTGGGAATTACATCAGTTCCGTTATTAGGGGTTGTGCGACTATTACCTGCATCACCCGAGTTCGGCAAAACATTGGAAGGTGAACTAAAAATGATCTTGTTAATCAGACACTTCGGATAACCATTATTGATGAACAGTTTTGATAGTTTACGTAAATTTGAGGTGTGGAAGGTATTATCTGAGATGCTGATTACCCTTGTTTTCATCTGTTTTACCAAATTGATTTTAATCCCTAGCTTATGGTATGACCTAAAATTGAGAAACCGACCTGAGGCCATAGGTTTCTGGTACCAGTCTACCAATAAACTGTTGTTGTTGGTGCGAATGAGTCTTGTGTCTAGAAAGGGGACAGACAGGTTCTCATCTTCTTTTTCAATGGTAAATTGGATGTAGGGGTCATAGCTGTTGAATTCTCTGACAATACCATCCAGACCTATGGAAGGGAGGCATAAAATAATGTCATCTACGTATTTTTTTATGAAGAAGAGGTTATAGGGTAGTGTCGGAATAACAGTATCAAGCAGATCATCCATGACATATTCCGCCAAAATTGGTGACAGAACAGATCCCATAGGACAACCATGTGTTTGAGAATATATTTTGTTGTTGAAAGAGAAATAATTGTTATGAAAAAGGAATGTTATAATGTTGGTGAAAGATTCTAATAAACACTGGAATGAGATAAGTCAACACTGCAACATATCTCTAGAATCTTTCACCAACATTATAACATTCCTTTTTCATAACAATTATTTCTCTTTCAACAACAAAATATATTCTCAAACACATGGTTGTCCTATGGGATCTGTTCTGTCACCAATTTTGGCGGAATATGTCATGGATGATCTGCTTGATACTGTTATTCCGACACTACCCTATAACCTCTTCTTCATAAAAAAATACGTAGATGACATTATTTTATGCCTCCCTTCCATAGGTCTGGATGGTATTGTCAGAGAATTCAACAGCTATGACCCCTACATCCAATTTACCATTGAAAAAGAAGATGAGAACCTGTCTGTCCCCTTTCTAGACACAAGACTCATTCGCACCAACAACAACAGTTTATTGGTAGACTGGTACCAGAAACCTATGGCCTCAGGTCGGTTTCTCAATTTTAGGTCATACCATAAGCTAGGGATTAAAATCAATTTGGTAAAACAGATGAAAACAAGGGTAATCAGCATCTCAGATAATACCTTCCACACCTCAAATTTACGTAAACTATCAAAACTGTTCATCAATAATGGTTATCCGAAGTGTCTGATTAACAAGATCATTTTTAGTTCACCTTCCAATGTTTTGCCGAACTCGGGTGATGCAGGTAATAGTCGCACAACCCCTAATAACGGAACTGATGTAATTCCCAATAATAACATCAATCCTAACAGTACTAGCACCAACCCGGACTCCAGACCTGG